CCGGGGAGCGGTCCGTGGCGCGGCGCGCGATCCTGCCGCCGCCCGCCCGGGATCGGCGCAGCCTCCGGCATCAGCAGCCGCGGGGCTTCCTGCCGCGTAAACGCGCTCCGGACCGGAGCCCCCGTCTGACCTCGCCCGGGGATCGCGCTCGAAGTGCGACCCTCCGGCAGTCTGCGGCAGCCTTCGCCAACGTGCTGCTGTAGGTGTGTTGGACTCCAATTCCCAGCATTCCTTCCAGCGGAATGCTGGGAGTTGGAGTCCACCGCACTCGCAGGGCGCCCAGTTGAGGAAGGCTGTTCTTTGGAACTGAAATCCACTTAGTTTGCGCCGGATCGGTTCTTTTTCTTTTTTTTTTGGGTGGGGGGCGAGAGCAGCAGGGTGGGAATCAAGACGGCTTTTACTAGTTTCCCTAGCCCGTAATAGCCAAAACCGTCTGAAGGTTTCCAACAGTTCCTAGAACAGGACATAAGTGCCATAGACTTTTTCCCCAAAATGTTATTTTTTAAATTTAAAAATTAGCTAAGTCCAGTATGGCACTGTGGAAACACCAGGCCTGGCCGTTTTGGCCAGGGCATCTGAGGTTGCGCTCAAATGCCTTGGGGCAGGGGGTCGTCCCAGCCCAGTGCCGACGGTGCCCTCTGAGCCTTCTTTGGAAGACAGACCTGGAAGAAGGTCTCGGGGCTTGCCCAGCACGTCTGGGGGAACCGTGGCTCGGAGAAGCGCTCCGTCCAGTACCATGGTCCCGAGCCACGTCTTTGTCCCCGGTCAAAACCAGCGCCTTGAATCCGGCATGGGAGCGCACAGGCGACCGACCGGTGCTCGGGGCCAGGGCTGGCCTTGCATGCTCAGCCTGTCTGGAACCAGCGACTCTTCTGACCGCCGGGTTTTGCCCAAACTGCAGCTTCTCAGTGGTCTTCCAGGGCAGCCCACCATGGCAGGAATCTCAGTCGGGGGCCGTGCCCCCAGTGAGCATACGCCCCCGTAGCCAGCCATTTCGTGCCCCCTACTCCCTGAACTTGGGATGGCGGCAGCTGCACCCTGCACTCCCGTTCTTATCAAGATGTCCATTTACATCTGTCTAGATAAGGGGGGGATGCTGGGGTGCCTGTAGGAACTGGTGGAAGCCCCGTGCCCCCCCCACCCCCAACATGTGCCGTTCAGTTGCTCCAAGGCCCACTTGGATCAGGGGAGGCAGCCCAAGGCGATTTCCTACCATGGGCTGCCAGGGGTCAAGTCTGTGACTTGGCACTGGAGTTCGAGCCCTCTGGACTCTGAGGGATCCCACAGATAACATCCGGAGGCCCGAGGATGGTGTCCTTGTGGGATCGTAGAACTGCCATGCTCCAAGCTGTGCTCCGGGTTCAAAATCAGCCTGTGGTTATGGCTTGATTGTCCTTCCCACGGCCCCAGGCAAACTTTGCTCCGCGCTTGTTCGCCCTCCAGCTGCTCGAAGCTTAGCTGGTCTCGGGAAATATTTTTCTTCTTTGCCGCATAAAAGAGGCTCAGGAAGATCCCCACCGAATACGCTCGTGTGTTCCTTTCCCGGCTTCTTCCCCCTGTGGCTCTGCTGTGCTTTGCAAAAGAGTTTGCCTGAAGCGTGGCAGAAGTTGAACTTTAGAATGTGGCTGGAGAGCGGTGTGAAAGCACACGACACGCCTCGTCTGGTGACGTGGGGTGAGGAGTTGTCGGGATCCCTGAGCTTTGCCTAGGAGTGGTACGGCCCCCTTGGAGGCATAAATAAACCCCTTGCCGTACCAAAACCAGGGTCCATTTTTGCCTGAATGTCTCGGAGCACAAGCTTTGCTCATCATCGCGTGCAAGAAATATCACTCGGGGTTTTCCTGCCAAGTCCAAGTGCCGATATTTCTCTGCTGAGTAATTTGGAAGTGACGCTGATTTGTTTCGCTTTGATTTCCTACAAGTGGCTTTTTCTGACCGTATATAATGTGACCTTCAGTAAAGAGGCAAGAGGAATGAATGAAACACTGAAAAGTGCTTAAGGAAAAGAAGTAGCTTGTCCAATATGCAAACACTGGATGAATTTACGGGATTTTTTTATCACAAGAACAAGGAAAAACAAGAAAGAAGGCAATGGATTTAGGGGGAGGAGGTGGCAAGACTGACTCTATCTTTTTAGAAGGAAAAGTGATGCAAAACTTCCCGAGTGAGACCTTGTTTTCCATTTGCTTCCACTGGCAAAGCGGTTACTGCCAGCCCGAGTGTCCGGCAGAACTCTTCACAGGGAAGGTGATGGCCTGCTGGGGCTGCCCTGGTGTGATTAGTGCTGCGTTTTGTTTTATTTTATTCTGTTCTGTGTCCTTGCAGACTCTTGCATGAGCCTTGTGCAACTCGCTATCTTCCTCCCCCTCCTCCTCCTCCTCCCCCTCCTCCTGCAGGCAGCCAGGGCTTCCTGTTTGCAAGCAGCAGGCACGCACACACCGCAGCGATCTGTGCAGACCCGGTGGAAGCCGCGCTGCTGTCCCTGGGTCAGTCTTTGGGAGGCGTGTGGGGTGAGGCGAGGCGAGGCGAGGCGAGGCTTGGCAGGGCGGCCCTCGGGCGGCCTCTGGTGCTCGGAGTGGCCACTTTTTCCAAGCATAGGAAAATCTGCCCCATCTCTCCCGATCTTTGGCTGTTCAAAGGGGGGTAGGCCTATAAAAACGTTCGCCGGCCTCAGGGAGGTTGTGAAACTCGGTGGGGCTGTTGCATGGTGCAGCGCGATGGAAAAGGGGAAGAGAACGGGGCATCCCGCGAGGAGGCCCAGAGCACATCCCCGGATAGGGATGGAGAAAAGGGCCCAAGCGAGCTGTGCTGCGTCGGTGTCGGCAAAGCTGAGGTGCCGGGGAAGCGGGATCTGCTTCAGGACAGGCGGCTTCTGAAGTTTCGTAGATCTGTGTAGCCCGGGAGCCATGCACAATTGTCCAGAGCGAGCCCTGCATGTTCCCACGGGCCCTGGCGGTGAGGACCGGCCAAACTTGAGCCCAGACAAGTTTGTTCTTTCTGTTTTAAACAGCCTCCGAGTTCTGCGGTGCCGGATGCAGCTGGTGGGGCGGCATCTATGGAGGAGACGATCAGAAAAGGTGGGGTGTGCCGGGGGGTGTCTGCGAGGCGGGGAGGCTGTCTGCGCATGCAGAGGTGCCCGAAGTGCCCCGAGGGGCTCCGGGCCTCCTTTCGCGCTGGCATGCAAAGGCTGGGTCGGGGGGGCAAAGGCTCGGCTGCAGCCTGCCGAAACGAGCGAGGGGGGCTGGAGGAAGGCACGTTTTCCGGGGACCCGACCGGAGCCCCCTCGGCCGTTGCACGTCCCCCGTGAGGAGCCCAGAGGCTGTCTCTCCGTTTGGGCTTTAAACAGCTGCCACTGCGGGTGATTGGTCTAGATCGTATGCCTGGTCGATTGGGTGCGTATGATTTTATAGGCAGCGAAAAGCAAAACAAGGTATTTGTGAGACACAAGAAGATGACCTGAGTAGACATTTATAGGAGAGCACCATATATAAAAATAAAAACTTTGGAGCAGCTCATGAAGCAGGGCCTTTTGTGATTATGGCATGTCTTCCCCACCGTGTACCCTTTTTGCAGACCTCCTAAAAGGCTAATTGGAGCCCACAAATTAGTGGTTTTAGAATTTCTGCTGCTTGCCTGCCATTTCAGCAACTCCCTCCTACTTTTTAAGTAGTTTTTACCATATGGCGTTGATCCTGATTATTCATTTCTCTTGTTCTTGTTCACCTGCAAATGCTTGTTTTGGAAACTGTCCTCAACACACCACTTTGGTCACTAATTTCTGCGTAGATCTGTTTAGAAATAATCCGCTGAAATTTGCATCCGTGGCCCCTGCTCTGCCGGGCAGCCTTGGGGAACTAGCCGGGCCACCTGCCCCCTTTCTTGTTCGCAGCGGAGGAGCAGGCCTGGAGGCTGGCGGAGGCCATCCAGGCCGGGGACGAGACGGAGGCCCAGCTGCAGGCTGCGCGGCTGGCCAGGCAGCGGATCCCTGTCCTGGTGCAGATGAAAAAGGAATCTCACCCCATGCAAGAGATCAGGTGAGCTGCAGGGACGGACTGCACGCTATGGAGACGGAGGATCAGGGCCATGGGCCAAATATGGCCTGCCAGGGGTCCTGATCCAGCTCCATGGGATTCACCAGGTGGCCGTGCCCGTCCCCCCCCCCCCCAGCCGTGTGCTTTATTCGAAAAGGTTGAAATGCCCCTTCCAAGGCAGGGGGAGCTTTGAACTGAAGCCGCATGGTCCCGGGGGCATTTTGGCCCACCCCCTTTGCCCTTCAGCTCGTCCTAGCTTGGCATTCGCCCCACCCTCCAGTCAGATGGAGCTTCTCTGAAATGGAAATCACCCTTGGCATGAAAGGGGGACAACGACTCCCTCGCTTCCACCATCCTGGGTCTGCAAGAGGGGAACCCTTGAACCGGCTCCAAGCTGGACCCCGTGACCTGTGTCGCTGTTCACAAGAACAAAGTGCAGGTCGAAGGGGGGGCGCATCTTGTGATCTTGTGCACCCCAACAGCCGCGTTACCTCCTTTGGTGAGAACCGCAGTGGTCGAGGCAGGCCGGAGAGGCAAGGTGGGTGACCTGCTACAGGGAATGCTGGCTGGCTCAGGACAGCACCTGGCAAGGGCAGCTTCCGTCTCTGGGTTGTGCCAGCACACCTGAACCTGACAGGACCCGTAACGACACCAGCAGCCGTTCTCCGGAGAAGAGAAGCCCTCCCCGGCGGGCGGGCGGGCGGGCACGGGCCAGATGGTAATCAGACGGGCCAGTGGCCCTCAGAAGCTGGCGTCCTTTCTCCTCACAGGCTGCAGGTGAGCATAGAAGATGCTCAGATGAAGGCAGTCCCCATTTACCTGAAGGTGCAACCCTGCATGACCTTGGCATCTCTGAAAGACATGGTAGGGGCCGTCGCACGGATCTTGCGGAACCAAAGCTGCGGCTTTGCAAGTTTGCCGTTAGAGCTTTGTTACTTTATATTAGTGTGCACGTGTGTATGCGTGTGCGTGTTAAAATTTTGTTTAATTTTTGTTAACCGCCCAGAAAGTCCTCGCTGTTGGGCAGATTAAAATGAGAGAGAGAGAGAGAGAGAGAGAGAGAGAGAGGGAGAGAGGGAGAGAGGGAGAGAGGGAGGGAGAAAGGACCGATCCAGTGAGTCATTTACCTGGAGGTCAGCAAGAGGCCAATCTGTGTATAAAATCAACCTTCCTTCCTCTTCCCATAAATGCAGGTTAAGAGCAATCGCCAGGTGTGTGAGGCTGATGTTCAGAAATGCGTGAATATGAAACATGGCTTTCTTTTCATGTTTCTAGCTCTCATGGACTAAAGCATGCTTCTATCAGACCTCAGCCATGTTCAGTGATGCCAGGAAGGAATGGAACAAATGCAGTTCTTGACTGAGGCATTTATGGATTGCAGGCGCTTGTTCAATATTTCCTGATTTAAATTATACTAGAAGGTTTATTTTCAAAATCTGGACCTTATTAGAATGTAGACATTTTTTATATTTTTTCTGTCAAGAACACAATCAAATAGAATTTTGAGCTGAATTTATGGTATGGTTTCAGGGGATAGATTTAAATTCAGAACTAATTAGGTAAAGTCCATTTCAGAAAATGAGTGAAAATGAATCTAGGAGGGGAAGCTGCAATTTATATTATGCATAGATTTTAAAGAAAGGCTGTACAGAACCTCATCTAGGTAGAATTTTACTCTACTCAGGGCAAACAGATTTTATCCAGGAGTTCATGATTTGCATCGCTTTGTGGAAAGGACAGATTTGAATCTTACTCATCTATTAAATTTCTAGTTTGCCCAATAACCAACATTCCCAGGGTGGAATTTAGTATGCGTAGCCTTTACTGTTAAGTGGTGTCCACAACATTTGAATAAATACTGCATTCATGTAATCTTGAAAAAAATGTGCATCTGCCAAAAATCCAGGATAAATGAAAAGCGTTGCTTCATGATCCATCCACATATAAGACTGCGTGGAGGAGGAGAGCGATGTCAGTGGCCTTGAGTTTCTCGGTAGGAAAGAAGGATATAGAATGAATGAATGAATGAATGAATGAATGAATGAATGAATGAATGAATGAAGATCCTTAGTCATGCAGGTTTAGTGAGCAGCTGCTGCAACGTTCTGGCTATTGGGTGGCATCAGGGGGAAATGGTCCAAATAAGTAAGCCATCTAACCTCTTACGGGGCCACCAGCTTGACCTGGAAGGCTGAGCAAACGCCTGAGCGCCAGAGGAGGCCTCTGGGTGCAGCTTGCTTGGTCCTGTAGCCGGCGGAGCGCCATGGGCACCGGCTCCTTGCTGGACCCTCTTTCTCTCTCCTCCTGGGCCAGGTGTTCCTCCACTACGGTTTCCCTCCCAGCGTACAGAAATGGGTGGTGGGGCAGAGGCTGCCCCAGGACCAGGAGACGCTGCACTACCACGGCATCCAGAGAGACGGGGACGTGGCGTACCTCTACCTCCTCTCCGCGAAGGTGGCCAAGCTCAACAAAGACACCGTCGAGCAGGACTACGAACGCAGGCAGCTGGAAGGTCAGCGGGTGGGCGGCTGCGTGGCTGGGCTGGTGGTGGAGGGAGAACCTTCCAGAGGGTCGGGTGGCCGTGTGGAGCCTGCCAGAGCGGGGAACTTGCTGGAAGGTGCTGGAGCCGCTGAATCCGTGCTGTGGACACCGAGACCCCTGGTGGGCCCGATGCTGTCCAGGCTTTATGGCAATGCTTTGGTCGAAGGAGCTGGGTGTGCACTCCTCCTGCACAGCTGAGTCCCAGGAGAGGACACGGGGAGGGGGAGTTCTGGGGAAAGAGGGCCCACAGGGCTTAAAAGAGACTGGGGATCGCCAGGGCTCCGCTCCAGAACCTGTTCTCCAGGAGAGGGGCGACCCGGGCCCCAGGCTGAAGCTCGCGGGCAGCGGAGTCCACGCTTGGGCCTGCCGTGCTTCAGTGAAACCGCGTGGAACCCGCTGCACCAGTGGGGACTTTCTTTGAAAGTTTTCACTTCCTTTGAACACCGGCTTTAGAAGCAGGCCTTTTTTTAGCTTCAAAGGCCGAAGTTGAAAATACGGAAGGCGCGCTGACTTCCCTCTTCAGACGTGTGACCGCCACCCCAATACCTTCAAAGAACTGTTTGGCTCTGTGTTGTACGATCATGATGTGGGTTGCTGGAAAGGCCATGGGGGACCCCAGTCCGGAACGAACAGCTGGCCATACCCGCTGCTCAGAGCGGCCCGGAACCTGCACCTGAGCAGGCCGCGTCATCCCGGGGACGGTCCCCACCTGCATTTTGGGCCGGCTTTCGCAGCCACATCCAGTGGTGGGAGGGGCCAAGGGCAGAAGAGGCGGGGCCACGATATCAAAGGCGCGCGCTCCTCTTGCCTGACCCCAAGCTGCATGAAGGCCGTTTCGACTCCTGAGAATGGGGAAGTTTCTGCGCCAAAGCCAGGAATCCGCCAAAGGAACTGGGGGGGGGGGGGGGGGTGGGAAGGGGGCAGGGGAAAGGGGCAAGGATCCTGGCCCGTCAAGGAATGCAGGAGCCAGACTGCGACCTGGACGAGCCAGACTTTGCCCCGGCCTGAAGTTCTCAGGCTTAGTCGCAGCTCTCCCAGGAGTTCAAGCAGAGTTCTTCCCCATCCCCTGATTGCTTCAGCATGCAAAACAGAGACTTTACCGCTGAGCTGCAGCCTCTGTTTTGACCTTTAAAAGAAGTTGAGATAAATATAACTAGCAACTTTTAAAAAGGAAGAAAGAGAAGCTTGGCAGGATTGCAAGTTTTGAACTAATCAGGGACGGGGCGTATGAAGCGTGGGCAGGACCTACACCAAGATCCTTTGCGAGAGAAGCAGGCCAGGTGAGCAGAAGAGCCTCGGCTTAACCTGCTGAAGGGTCCAGGTTGGATTCCTGGCATCCCTGAGCAGGGTGGGAAGTGTCTGGATCCCAGAGACCAGTGGCCCGCAAGTAGGCAGAGCGTGGACCAGTTGCCTGAACTGGTGCAAGTGCGAGCCCTAGTGGCCCATTCTGAAGGCCAGGCCATCTCCCGGCAGGCCCCGTAGCCGCACCATGAAGCCAGCCCCAAAATTCAGGCCCTGTGATGCTCCGTCTCCGCACGCCGGTCCTGGCCCTTTTCCTCTTCAACGGGAGTCAGTCCTGCACAAGGTGCCAGGTCTTAATGACCAATTCAAGGCCAGACTGGAAGAGAATATATTCTTCGATGCCTGCAAAGATAGAAAGATCCTTGAGCATGTTAAGGCAGAAAAAGCCCCGGAAAGAGTCCTTGCGACACATTTGGAGAAGGCAGAGCAGCTCCTGAGGAAGGAAAGTCCTATCGGAAAAGTTTGGGGTATAATGCAAGTATTTTCCAGGCTCCTGAGGATATTTATCCTTCCGGCTGCAGCGAGGATGGCAGCTCAGCTCGGAAGAAGCAAGAGGCTGGGGGTCTGCAGTCGTGTCCCCAGGACTAGCAGGATTGGCCCCCTCTCCCTGCCAGCCCGGCTTCTCGGTACCGCTTGGAGTCGCTGGGAATGGAAGGGGGAGTTGTTCTTGGCACACGTTTCAGGGCCGGGGTGTCTCAGGCTCTTCGGATGGGGGGGTTGAGTGCTGGGAAATGGGCCTCCCAGATACTGAGTCAGAAGAGCTTGTCTCAGGAACGCCGTCTCCAGGTGTTCAGGTGGATCCGGAGAACTGCCAGAGCCGGACAAGCCGGGAATGGTCCTTGGCCCCACGGCGTGGCTTCAGGACAGAAGGGCTGGCCCACCAGTGGGTTCAGTGAGGCGAGGAGGCTCCAGACGGGCCCTCCCAGAGGGGTGGGGTCCAGGGGGACTCCAGAGGGGGGTCCTCAGAAAGAGTTCGAGTATGGGTTCAGCAACCACTCTGTGCATGCTCAGAGACTCTTTCTTTGCCGGCTATAGTTTGCTGGATGCATACTAGAAGTAAAGAGTGTCGGCCGAAGAACAGCCGGTTGTGTTGAAAGTGCGTCAGCTTCTAATTGTGCCGCCCCACACCTCAGCGGAGCCGGCCGGACCCTGCCTCCCTTTTTACGACCCCTCCTTTCCTAACCCCTTTAGAACTAGGCATTAAGGAGGGTGTCCTGCTCCCACGGGGGGCGACCAGCACATCACCCCTGCCGACAGCGGAGCCCTTGAACCCCACCGAGGACAGGAGGGAGGCTGCCGCCCCGCCCCCCGCCGGGCCTCCGCAGGTAAGCAGCGGCCAGCTGCCGGGGTGGGGGCGGCCCCGCGCTGCCTCGGGGCCCCCTCGCAGTCCTCTTTCCCTGCCCGCACGGGCGGCTTCTAGGTGGGCTGGGAGTGCCCGACCTGCACCTACCTGAACAGGCCCACCTGGCCCGGCTGCGAGATGTGCTGCACAGAGCGGCCCAAGAGCTACGTCATCCCCGAGACCCACCAGCTGGACAAGGAGGAGCTGGAGCGGCTGCAGCGGGAGGCGGAGGCCACGCTCCAGTATGAGCAGGTGAGCAGCGTGCCACGGCCCTGCTGCGGATGGGGCTGCTGGCCCTGCGGGGTGTCCAGCGGGTGTTCCGCGCATCCGGGGCTGGATTCGGGTGCCGATTTGGACGAGACGCGAGCCCGTGTCCTGCCCACAGCTTGGCCTTTGAGCCTGGTTGTGGTGTTGTCCGCATGGGAGACGAAACGGGGGGCTGGATCATTGCCCAGCTCGCCCTGTGCTGCTCTCTCCTCCGACTGACAGCAGCTTTCCGCCATCCTGGAAAAGCGGAAGCCTTTCCAGGCCTGCTGCTTGAGAGCCGGCAAACCCGTTCCTCTCCACTTCTCTCGACGCAGGTGAAAGAGCAGCAGAAGCAGCAGAACTACGAGCAGCTGGTGCAGCTGGACGGGCAGAGCCTGGTCCCCTCCGACGAGGCCATGGAGTGCCCGATCTGCTTCGCAGCCCTGGAACCCGGGGAGGGGGTGACGCTGCGGGAATGCCTGCACTCCTTCTGCAGGTCAGTGTCCCAGAAGAGCCTGCCTGTCCGCCTGAGGCCCGGCCAGGTGCAGCGAGAAGCCTCAGAGCAGCACCCGTAGCTCAGCTAGCTCCCCTTTTGCAAATTCTGACGTATAGGCAAGTCACTCCGGGAACTCACTCGCTCTTTTTAAAGGCATCTTGGCGAGCACACCTGCAGCTCCTTCTCCACCTGCTTCCAATCTGGCTGGGGAGAAAAGCAGGGAAAAGTTCTCAAGAGGCAGAAGATGAGGAAGCAGAGCCATTCTATCAGCCCTGCTGGAGCAGCCCTCATTTTTCCTCTGCCCTCCCTCTCGCTTTTTCCTTTTGTGTTGTGTCTCTTTAGATCACAAGCCTCCAGGTTGGCTGGTTTTTATTAACTGTATGTAAGCTGCTCCTGGAGTCTGTTTTATCTGAGGAGCAGGCTGAAAATGCTTTAAAAAGCACACAAGATGAGCAGCTGAAGACAGACGTGCAGGAGGGGGTAACCTGGCCATGCTGGTGGAGGATGATAGGCACTGTAGTCAGTGCATCAGGAAGGGGCAGGTTGCAGGACGCCTCTCGGGCCCTCCACAGCCCTCTCGTGTCTCTCCTCCAGGGACTGCTTGCGAGGGACCATCCTCAACAGCCTGGAGCCGGAAGTCTGCTGCCCCTACATCGACGAGAAGTACTCCTGCCCGGGGCAGCTGCTGGAGCGCGAGATCAAAGCGGTAGGCGTGCGGGCAGGCCTGGGTGGGGAGCGCCCTGGGCGCCTTGCAGAGCCTGGCACGGGGGCTGCGGAGCCCCGTAGACAAGCCCCCGGACGTCCCATCTCCGGAAGCATGGCCCGTCCCTCGTCGGACACGTGGGCTGCTGAGTGAGCACACTGCGATGCTGGCCAGGGGCTCTCTCGGCCTCCTTCGCCGTGGCAGCAGCTCCGGGAAGTCTGGCCCCTTCCTCCCGTTGCATCAAGGCCGGGTGATGAAGCACGTCCGGCCCAGGGAGCTGAACTCCATTCCGGGGAGGCTCTCCAGCCTGCACCCCAGCGCTGGCTGGAACCGGATGCCAGCAGCTGCTGGCGCCTTTTCCCCCAGAGCCCGTCCTGCAGCGGCTGAGAGCTTCGGCAGAGTCAGCTCCCCTTTCGGGACAGGGGAAACAACTGCGCATGGCCTGGGAACCACCGCGTGCCCCGTGATCGGGGTGCGGCTTTCTGCGGAACCCGAAATGGCCTGATGGGCTGGGGGCCGGGCGACCTGCCCCCAGCGCTTGGCTTGTGCAGAGGAGGAACTTCGGGGCGCGTCTCCTCCTGTGACCCTTCCTGCTCCCCGCTGCAGCAGCACCCCGGAGTCTTTGAGAAGACTTTCCTCCTCTCCCAGCCGCTCTCACATGGCCCCAGTGGCACCTTGGCTTCCTCCTCCCTGGCTGCACCGGGCGCTTGGTGCTCTGCACTGCAGCGGCTCTCCAGTCCTTCCTCCTGCTACAAAGCGCTTCATCTTGCAAGGGGCTTGGGGGGGGGGGTTGACCCCTTGTCTTGGCCCCAGCCACCCACCCACCCAGGGAGCTGCTCTGATGGGGAAGGCGGCCTTCGGGCAGAAAGACTTCCGATGCTTCTCTTCTAGAAGCTGCAGCCAGTGTCCAATTTATCCCGCTCATAATGCTGCGAGGAAGGTTAGGCCGAGGGAACATGCAAACTGACGGCCGGCGGAGGCTCTCAGCCAGGCCCTCCCCGATGCTGATCCAGCACCGCATCACACGGTTCTTCCAGGACTGAACTGTGCTGATGAAATCGGGACTGCAAAAGCTCGGGGTGGTGATCGGCCAGTTCCCCTTTGGAAGCTCCCTGAGAGCTCTTCTGGTAAGCCTCGGGTTGTCCTGGGCAGCCAGCCCCAACCTGGTGCCCTCCGGCAGTTTTTGACTACAATTCCCAGCATCCCTGACCATTGGCCTGCTTGCTGGGCCTGAATAGTCCACAAGTCTGGAGGACACCAGGTTACCTGGGAGCAGCGTGTCACGCAGGTGAAATGCTTCCTGTGAGAGACATAGCAGCACAGAAACAGCGCGAGTCAGAAGGGGCCTCCCAGGCCATCTAGTCTGACCCCCCGCTCCAGCCGGCTGCGCTCACGACATGCCTACCAGGGATAGATCCCCGAATTGCAGCTTCTCTGAGGTGTTCTCGGTTTGCTCCATAGCTCCTGAGCGAAGATGAATACCAGCACTTCCTGGATCTGGGCGTCTCCATCGCCGAGAACCGCAGCCGGTACAGCTACCACTGCAAAACCGCGGACTGCCGGGGCTGGTGCTTTTACGAGGACGACGTGAACATTTTCCGTTGCCCCGTCTGCCTCCAGGATAACTGCTTGCTTTGCCAGGTGAGGTGCCACCTGCCCGTGCATCTGCCACGTGGGCCCTCGCACGCGCCCAGGGAGCTCGGCTGGGGACTTGGCACGGGGAGAAGCCGCCCCCGCAGTCTGAAGGCTTCCAAGCAGGGGAAGCAGGAACTGCGAGTACCGAGGGCAGAATCAGGAAGGGCTGACGGGGAAGAGGCCGTGACCTTGTCGAAATGGCGACTGCTTCATGGCTCACTTCCCCGTGCGCTTGGCGCTCAAGGTGGCTGCAGGCATTAAGCACACCTGGCCAAACAAACACTGTTAAGCACAGAGTGGACCACAAGCACAATGAAACTCCCGTCAGTGAGAGGGGAAGCAACCGCCAGGCTTCCATACCAAGCCCCCGGGTGCTTGGATAAGCAGGCCTTGCCTGCCTGTGGAAGGGCAGCAGAGGGGGCATGAACCCCACCTCCCTGGGCCAGGTTTTCTGCAGCCAGGGAGCCACCACGGAGAAGGCCCTTTCCATGTTAAAGCAGCCCTCCCCGAGTGAACGCTCTCCAGATGTGTTGCAGCGCCTGCCTCAGGGAAAGGCTCCACATTGCAGTCCAACACACCTGGGAGTGCCAGGTTGAAGGCAATTACCCTTGTGTGCTGATGCACCGGCGCTTCAGGTGGAAGGTTGCCTGTGACACCGTCCTCGGGAAAGAGGGCTGTTTCCCGCCCCTTCACAGCATCCAGAAGCAGTGGTCTTGAGCCGACCCTCGTGGGTGCTGGGCCAGTTCTGCTAGGAGAATGCAAGTACGTGCCCCCAGGACTGGGGCCCGGAACAGACCCACTCGGTGTCTCCGTCTGCAGGCTATCCACATGAACCGGACATGCAAAGAATACCAGGACGACCTCCAGCTCCGAGCTCAGAACGACCAGGCTGCGCAGCAGACGATGCAGATGTTGCTGGTGAGGGGGCGGCCGCTAGCTCCCGCGTCTGGGTCCACGCCACGCTGCCAGCAGGGCCTCTGGGCTCACGGAGCTGCTGGGACAGAGCTAGTCCTCATCGGCTTGCAGCGTCAAAACTGAGAATGGCCTGGGGGGGTGGGCACAGAACCATTTCTGGTCCAAGGGGCGAAATTTTCCATTTTGGGGACGCTTGCAAGGCGGGGGCATGTCCCCGTGGTGGGAAGGGCCAAGAGCAAAATTCTCAAAATTAGAAAAAAGACCAGCTTGCTTTTCGCAGGACTTACTCCAGAGTAAATGTGCCTTGCTGGGGCGTCCTGGGCTACAGAGGATTTTCTTTTTCCGCCCATCTTGCCACGGTCCTTTCCGATGCAGTGAAGGCCTCCCCATGCCTCCCCTTGCCGGTCCCATTCTGAGTATGGTGGGGGCTTGTCTGCGTGAACTCTGGGGAGTCCCACTCCCCCCTCAAACTGGCTTCCTGTTTCTGTACCCCTCTGGGGAGACTTTGCATGTGCAGCCTCTTCGCCTGAGGAATCTCATAGGCGCTGGCCCGTCACAATCTGCATTGGGCCGTTTGGACGGTTGGTGTGCCTGCCACTCCCCGCCCCGCTCCCGGACCCCAAATTGGAAGATGTCGTGAGCTGGGCGTCCCCTCCCAAGCAAGGCAGTCACTGCAGTGCTTCTAGCAAGGGTCTTCATTCAATGCAGGCAATCTAAGCGCGCATGAGCCTCTGAGCATGCGCGAGGAGCAGTGTGGACCCCTCCCCGCTCCCCTTCACCTGAGCTCTGCTCACGAACCCTTTGGGGCCGGTCTCCGGAAGGAGGGCGCTGCGCCACCGGCACGCCTGCATTCTGCACTCTGAGCCCCTAGCTGGGCCGGCCTGCAGCCGTGACGATGGGCCCTCCGGCCCACGTCTTCAGGAGGCTCGCGTCCTCATCTGAGGGACTGCCCGGTCCCAAATCTCCCCCTCCCGTCCTTCGTCCACCGCATTCCCACGGGTGGAGGGAGACTGGGCCCCGTGGCCGTCCTGGAGCGCCTTTCGCCCAGAGCAGGGGAGTGAGCGGGTGCAAGAACCGGAGCCTGGTCTGGCTCAGCCTGTGCCGCATCAGTCCCCCCAAAACAGCCCCTCTCTCGGGCGCGCCTGGAAGCTGGCCAGAGGAGGCAGGACCAGCGCGTGTTCCGACCGCCCCCTTCTCCCCCCAGGGAATGGTGCGGAGCGGAGAGGCCATGCACTGCCCGACGTGCCAGATCATCGTCCAGAAGAAAGAGGGCTGCGACTGGATCCGGTGCACCGTGTGTCACACGGAGATCTGCTGGGTGACCAAAGGGCCGCGCTGGGGGCCAGGGGTACGTGTCGACCACGCGGTCCCACTCCGAACGGGAGCCCAGGCAGCACGGGTGTATGGCTCAGAAGGTTCCCTCCCCGCCTGGCGCCAAGAGCTTCAGCGGGACCCCCAGGCCTTCGCTGTTTCACTGCCCTGCGAGGTTACGCATCTTTGGGGTCTCTTCCTGGCCTCACAGGATTGTCTCAGGATTGGGCCTTCCGAGAGGAAACGGTGATGCTGCATCTGGAGTGGAGCAGTTTGATCAAACACTTCCCTTCGGTACTAATGGCGTGGGGGTGCTAGGGACTCCCATGAGCTGCGTTACTGTAACCCACTGTGTCGGTTTCTGCACGCAACCTGAATGTGTGGGTTGCTGACGCTGAGCGGGCGTTGGGTTTTGGCTTCGTAGAGCAGAACTAGCAGTAGCTTTTGGGGTGTTGGGGGGATATTGCCAAGGGTATCTGACCTCACACAGTTTAGCAATAGGAAATCAAACTGAGGTTTTTTTTGCTCTTTAATCTGTGCCATGGCTGGCCTGGGGCGGATCCCCTCTCCCTTAGCCAAAGTGCTTTGCAACTGTAAAACAGGAGTATTAATTGGTTGCCTTTGACCAGATCTTTGCAAAACTCTGCTGAACACACTCTTTTCTGTACACAGTCCTTGGTCTGTAGTAACGCAGAGGTGGATTTGCATGCGTATGGTGTGGGGTTCATGGAATGCGCCATTTAGCAGTAGCCCTGGCTACTGGATCTTGGGATCCCAGTGACAATGGAAGGAGATCCCACCGGCCCACGCAGGGACTGAGTCAGTGAATGAACATGGAGAGGCCTTGGCTGCATTTCGGGCTAGCAGAAAGTTACGGTCAGTCCTAGAGGAGATCAACCCTGGATGCTCTTTAGAAGGCCAGATGCTGACGATGAAGCTCAAATACTTTGGCCACCTCATGAGAAGGAGGGACTCCCTGGAGAAGAGCCTGATGCTGGGAACAATTGATGGCAGAAGAAGGAGGGGGCGGCAGAGGATGAGGGGGCTGGATGGGGTCACTAGGGTGGTCAGTGTGGGCTTGGGTGGACTCCAGGGATGGTGGAGGACAGGAAGGCCTGGAGGAATGCTGTCCATGGGGCTGCGATGGGTCGGACACAACTTCCCGACTAACAACAACAAAAAAGTTAGACAAAGGACATTTTGGGAGGAGAGCTGCCTCGCTGCAGCTGAGGGAGGGGAGCCCTGGTGCACAGTGGAGTTGGAGCAAGGCGACCGCTGCCCCTCCTCGGGCCCTTGCGGCACAGTGGCAAGGAAGGCGAGCTAACCAGCGAGGCGCCTCTCAGCAGCCATTGCTAACACGGAGGATAGTCTCTATGTGGCTGGCTTTTGGGGAGTGTGATCTTGCAGGTGTTTGGCCTTTTCGGACGTGAGGTGCAGGGCTTCGGGCTGAACCGGCGTTGGGGATTTGTTTCTCACTGTATCTTCCCTGCGGTTGCGACTCGCGAGGGCTGAGCCAGCAACTGAGTGGTGCAGCTGGTTAAGAGACGGTGGATGGCATTCTCAAGCACATCCAGAGAGCGCAGTCAGGGAAACTTGCAGTCACAGATTTCTACTAGCTGCGGAATGATGGTCTAGTGGGAATGTGTCTTTCCCTGTCCTCAGAAGAGGTGGGGTCTTAAGATGCATGTTACCACCTGCTGATGGCTAGTGCTGCGTCGTGTATGGTCTTATTTCCAAAAACATGAAAACATTTTGGAGCTGTGCGGATGGGAAAAACCGAAGGCCATACGGCTGGATAGTGGTGGCAAGAAAGGCGCAGCAGAGCTAACCTCTTTTTATGGAGAGGGCTATCCATGGCTACTGGCCTTACTGGCTACGGGCTATTTCCCTTATCAGAGGCAGAATGCCTGCACACACCAACTGCTGAGGCGCTTGGGCAGGAAGGGCTGCACCCATCCTGTGTGAGGATCTTGTGGATCGCTGGCTTGCCACCCTGTGAACGGAGCATTGGACTGGATGGACCTTCGGACTGGTCCTCAGGGCTTTTCTTCTGTTCGAGAGCAGCCACCGCGGCTGTTTAGCTGCCCTGCCCAAGACATGCGACCTGCAGTCTGGCCTCCATGACGCAAGGGAAAGGCCGTGCTGGCGTCCTGGAGACTCCTGGGAATGATCGTTGCGCCTGGGGCCAGCTGGGTTCCACGTGGTAGTTATGTCCACATATAAGGCACAGGCATGTAGCAAGCTACCGTATACTGAACTGGATCGTCCATTTATTATTTCGTATTATTAGCTGCATCTAGGTGCCACCCAACTTCTTGTGTGATGGCGCTCTGCACTGATCGGGGGTGGATGGCCAGGAATTCCGGCAGGACTTTCCCAGCCGTACTGGGAGGGGCCAGGACAGAATCCAGGGCATTTGGCAGACCAAGCCCGTGCGTCCACGCGGTCATCGCCCTGCCCTTTTCCCTCCCTGAACCAAATCAGAGCACTTCTCTGGAGGACTAGATAGCGGTCCACAGTGAAGTGGCAATGTATAAACAGGAAGTTGTGCTTCCTTTTAACTCTCTCTGTTTCCCACCAAGAGCTCTACATCCTTTTGCAACAATGGTTAGAAAAGTGGCAATCCCAGAACACGACTTCCGCCTCCAGTCTCTCTTCCTTCTATATACCTTCCTTTCATTTGTGGGCTAATCCTTTTCCTCTTTCCTTCCCTACACGAAGTAGCAAATACTGTGTTTTACTCCTGTCAACACCCTACACTGATTTCTCTGGTCTCTTGTTTAAACAGCCTTGATAGATAGAAACACAGAAACAACACAAGTCAGAAGGGACCTCCCGGGACATTCGGTCTGACCCCCGGCTCCAGCCGGCTCCGCTCATGTAATCCCCAACACGTGGCTGTCCAGTCTTGCCTTGAACACCCTCACTGATGGGTCCTCAACCGCATAAGATAATCAGACAATCCACGTTCCCCCAAATGCTTGCTCGCTTGCTTCTTTCCTGCTTTTCACCTGTCTTCATTTTCTGCAGGGCTCCGGCGATACCAGTGGGGGCTGCCGCTGCAAGGTGAACGGGGTCCTCTGTCACCCCAATTGCCAGAACTGCCACTAGTCGGGAGGGAAGGACCGCTGTGCCCAGCTTTTGCAAGAACGGGCTGCCTGACGTGAAGGTCGAGTGCCAGGAGCGCCATCGAGCCGGGTTCTGGACAACTGGGTGTTTCTGCCGTCACAACCAGGAAGCAGTTGCCTTGTGTGTGCCTGGCTCCACGCAGAGCGACACACGGACGTCTTTCACAGAAGGATTCCGTCCTCCTTCTGTTACTATGCATGAGCAGATGAAGGAACTAGATGGAGATACTGGCCCTTCCCACTGTGGGCGCCTTCTCTTCATCATGTGGAGAGGCTTTTCCCAGTGGCTTTGAAAATGTTCCGGCTCCCTTGCTCCACAAGCCGCACCGTTTTCCCTACCGCTCCCCCTCTGCACATGCAGCATTTCGTTTCGCAGCCTTCAGGGTTGTGGACTGGGAGCCGAGCATTCTCTGGCCGAGGTACAAGTGCTTAGCTACCCCTATCGCCGGATCAGCATTGCCCTGCAAAACACGAGTATCACGCTTGCTGGCTCTGGTGTTGTACTGGCTCAATCAGGACTTATTTTGCCCAATAAAATATTTATAATTGACCGGCTGCCACTGCTGTTTTTCTGCAGAACGGTTCCTGAGCACAGCCCTGGTATTCAGACCGAAATCTTGGCAACTGGAATCTTCGGTTGGGCAAGTTTCCTTTCTAGTTTGCCAGAGACGTCACTGTCCTGCTGCGTCTATAAAATAAGAAACTGTAAACGTAGAGGCTTGAACGGTGTGCGTCGCTATGAAGCAACTCTGCTTCTATTTTGCTGCTGAGCTTACGGGAAGAGCGGGAAGCAACTTTAAACCCAGGGTTAAAGCCGGGAGGAAAGGGTAAGAGAAGCTCCCATCAGCACCACTGCCTAAGAGAGGGCTAATTTTGAAAAGGGCTTCTTGCTGTTCGAGGGCAGAAACACAGTGCAAACCTGCCCTTATTTTCTGCACAACTTTTCGCTTCTTCCGGGCTGAAGAGGAAACTCTTGCTTGGCCGAAGTAATGCTCTGCTTTATGTCCCCTGAACAAGAAATGGATTCCCAGGCAGCACCTCACTGTCTGCTGTTACAAACAGGATCGGACCCTTCTAATGTTCTTAGGAAAGCCGTGAGGGCAAGTCCACATGGCCTGAAGCAGCCGCCATGTGGCAACCATGCTGATCGGGGCAGGTCAGTTACACAACGAGCTGCAAGCACGCTCCATCACACGCGGAAGCCATTTCCAGGGGGCACCCTAGGCAGGCCGAGCACACACCAGGCCGAAAACAGATCGAAGCCTGATGAAAGTGGCGGCGGTGGTGGCGACGGAGGAAGGACACCGCGGCCTGCTGAGCAGGAGTAGAGCTGCCACTGTCCTTAACACGGCACTGCAAACACACGCTTTTAGTAAGTGGATAGAGGATTTATTTTTTTACACAATTACAGGCCCTGTACAAATGTGCACTTTACAGACATATGTATAATCTTTATACAGAGTGGCTAAGCCACTGAGGAAGTCTTATGCAGATGGGGAGGGGAAGCTGGTTTCCCCACCGAAGATGGAAAAGGAGGGGTGGCGGTCGGCTCCTCAGCCGTTTCCACCAGAGGGTTCCCAGCGCTGTAGCCCTCTCCTCCTAAGAATGGCGGCAGCTGCTCTTTCTGCTAGAAGCCCGTTTTTCTCCTCCCTCCCGACGCTGCAAGGCTCCCTTTGCAATACAGAGCGGTGCTGCTTATCACCAGGCTGCACCCAAGCCTGCCACATTTGGCCCACCCAAAAGGCAGCTCAGGAAAGCCCCAATTACACCGTTTGTGGCGGCACAAATGGGATCATCGAGCATCAGCTTCACCAAAGGATAACTTGAGGAGCTCAGCACCCCACCATCCGCACCTGGGGGAAAGCTGCCAGGCGCCTGCTCCTCGCCATGAGCAAAGAAGGCCGTTACAGAGCTGTTGGATCCCCCAGCCCGCAAAGATGAACGGCAAGGCAAGGCAAGGGTTGCCCGGGGCTCCCCTGGTGACAGGGCCGTGAAGCTGAGCGGGCTCCCTCCCCCTCGGCACCCCGTCCACAGCCTTCCACTCAGCTCTTTCCCGGCCTTTCTGCAACCTTGCAGCCTTCCCCGAGTCAGCCGGCTGCTTTTCCCTCCGAGTCAGTAAGGGTTGCTTTATAGAGTCAGCGAAATAAAACGGATGGTGTGGCCCTCTCTGCAGTCAGTCGAGGAAAACATGGAGGAAAAGGCAATCCTTCCTCTCAAGGGCTCCTTTTCTACCTGCAGGGCTTTGCTGATTGAGACAGGAGAGCATGCAACCCTCGCGGGCCCCTCGGGTCTGCTGGTGGCAAAGCTGGCCTGAAGGACCCTGAAGGAGGGTGCTCCACGTCTCACTTCCTTCGGTCCTGCTAAGCACTGGGCTTCTTGTTTTCTCACACAGTGGCAGATGGAGAAAAGGGCGCCCCTCCCGTTTGAATGGACCAGACTGCCCCAAGAGGGAAGGGGCTCTTCCTGTCCTAACCTTCCCTTCCCAAGTGCAGAAAGGTAGGGGCTGCATCCATCTTAGTTCACTCTTTCGAAAGAGCTTCCAGGCCTCTCAAAAGGCGAGGTGCTGCAACAGCTAGGCAGCCATTTTCTTCCCAAGGCAAAGAGAAGACCCGCAAGGGGCCGGTTAGCCTCGTGCGAGATCTTCTTTCCAGCCTTGGTTTCCATAAAGTGCTTAGTAAAATATGCGTTACGTCTTTCGCCCTGCCCATCCCACCCGGCTGCAGGGGAGCTCCGGCGGCCCTTGCAGGCCCCTCTTCTGCAGGCCGGCCCAGGGAGATCTCGGCCGCCTCACTCCACCCTTCTCCCCCGCCCTCTGCTGCTCGTGGCGAGTGCTGGCGACCCGCTGCCCCCGTTTTCTTACCATTGATCCCAAGCTGCACATGGATCTGCGGCAGCTGCGACAAGGGAGCCAAGGGTCACCTCCAGCAGCAAGGGTGCCGGGGGGGGTCCTGAACAAGCAGCTTGCGGGGGGGGGGGGCGACCTGCTCCACAACCGAGTTGACACGCGTGGCTCCATCTGACTAGAAGAGCTCTGAAGAGACACCACGAGTTGAACCATTCCTTTGGAATAGCCGGCACGATCCAGCCAGAGGGGGAGCAGACGGTACTCCGAAGGGCAGCCGGATCAGAAGGGGGGTTCCAGCAAGCACGAGGGAGGGGCGCCTCCATTCCTTCATCGCCCTTTTTTCCCGTGCAGGCAGGCTTCAGCAGGGCAGGTGCTTTACGGAAACATGTGCAATCGCAAATCCTGGGCGGGGGGCACGCAGGGGGGCTTCTTCTAACACTGCTGCTTCTCAGCGGCACGGTCTCCCACCCCTGGCAGCCGGGAGGGGACGGCGGGAGCGGTGCGGATCCCAGCTGCCACTGCAGCACTGGAAGCCGGGGCCCACAGCTGCGGCTGCTGCGCCCAGCCCCAGCCCCAGCCCGGCTCCTGCCCCCGCCCCGTTGACCGAGCAGGCGGCCCTTGGCTTGGCGGCCAGGAGAGACTTTCCCGGCTCCTCCTCTGCGAAGCTCCCAGCCAGCGGAAGAGTCCGTTGTCGGTCAGATGGCTGCGAGCACGTTTGCCATGAGAGAAACGACGATCGGTGGCGTAGGCTAGGTAAGGACACTTGTGAGAGGATTTCTTAAGCGGAGGGAGGAGGTAGAGGTGTATGGCGGCTTATCTATGGAGTGCGGAGGACTTTGGGTTTGGTCAGGAGATCCTGGAGAATCCTTCATGTGGGACCATGCAAAGTCCATTCTCTGTTAGTGGGCAGAGTATTCCAAAGAGCCACTTTTCAGCAGGTTAGATTTCACAACAGGAAACTCCCCCCTGCTCCCTTTTAACCCAAGTGGCTGTTACTGATTTTTAAGGGTTGTTTGTAGGTACAAAAAACTCATACACCAGGTACAGCCTTCTCTGTCCAGTCCTGGCCAAGAGTTCCTTGGAGAGTGGCTGGGTGACAGCCACACGCTCTCCAGAACCGAAGAGAGTCATGTGCTCCGAATTTCTGCTGAACGGCCACCAGCCTGGAGAGGTGACAGCATGAGTCGAGCTGCAGCCCTCAGCAGCAGAAGCAAGCAGGAGTCCCGTCGGGTCCTGGAAACTGCCCACCCACTTCAAGATCTGGAAATGCAGGCAACCAAAGAGCTGTGCGGAGGGAAGGGCAGGAGAGCACCTCCGAGAATGCAGGCCGGGCACCTCTCCTACCCCTTGATTTCTGTCAATATTGCAGAAGTAACTACACTTTCCCTGAAAATATTCGTTTCTTCCTCTCCCATCTGACCCAGCAGCCGAGGTGAGGAGGGACCTTCATGGAGGGCCGCCTGCCGAGTCTCTCCTGAATTGGGAGCCCTCCAGCTGGGCAGGAAGCACACAAAGTTGAGGTTCTTTAGTAGCACACGGCAAGCATCTCACACTTTCCCAAAGGAAGAGACTTCTGAGGGGTCCTGCGTGCGCAGAAGGGAAGCAGAGTGGCTGCGGGCACTCAGGGCCATCAAGCCGCACCTCAGCAGGGCCAGGGCTGTGGGGCAGGAAGGAGAGCGGACGCTGGACAGCCCAGCTGGCCTCCAGCAGGCACACAGGGGCCATTCCTCCTCCACCAAGCAGGACACGACAGCGGGGAGACGAGACGTCCCGCTTGGCCGTCAGGGAAATATCTGCAGCTCGAATTTGGGCGCCCACTCGAGCGCGCTCTTCACCACTGCCAAGGCCGCGGCACCCAAGGCCACCGTGAGCCCCATCACCGCCAGCTTGACAAAGCGGTTGGTCCTCGGCTTTGTCGCCAGCAGGGACTTGGCCCGCTCCTCCACACGGAGCCGGTCCCGGAAGCGCTGCCGGAGCACCGTGTCAGGCCGCTGCTGGGCGGAAGCCAGCTCGAAGTCTTTGAAGGTCGAAGCAGCCGTTCTGCGGGAGCACAAGGAAAGGGCATGCGGCGTGTCATTTCAGCCCGCGGAGAGGACAAGGAGATGCCGCGAACGAGCTCAGGTGGGGACCCTGCCTAAGGCTGGTCTTCCGTTTGCAGATGCAACCTTGCAGGCCTAGTGGGACACCTGCAGGAAGGACTTCAAGGGGCACAGACCGGGCAGAGGTGCCATGGAGCCACCCCCACCCACGTCCGTCTTCTAGCCCTGGGACACGAGCGTTTACCATACCCTTTCCCAAGATCGGTCTGGTCTGACGCAGGTGCCTAGAGGAGCCGCCCCATGAGGATCAGCCCACCTCAGATGAGGGCACGGAGGTGTGGCCCACACCCGAACGGAGGTCCCTTGTGGCACTCCTCTGGACTCGGCAAGCTGCCCTGGCCCAGCCGGCAGGCCTGGCTCGATTCTGCCGAGGCCTCCACAGCAGGCCGGTGCTGGCTCCCCGTTCCGCGCCCTTCGGCCTGCGTGGGCGGGCAGAGCCTGTCCCGACCCGAGCCGTGCGCAGCGCGTGGGGAAAGGGAGGCACCTCTCCCAACGGAGGGGGCTCCGCTCACCTTTCTGCCTGCTGCTGAGCAGCCTCCCGGGCGAGTTCAGACGGGGGGAACTGAACGAAGAGGTCACCAGCACGGCTGATCAGTGTCTCGTAGGGAAGGTCCTGGGGGATCTGCGACAACAAGTGGTGGACGGAAGCCATGTCACACTCGCAGGCCAGGACTTCCTGTGCCCGGTGGAGCACGATCTACAGAGGGAAGGAAGAGGCGACTCAGCCTGGCGCTTGGTGCTGGCACTTGCCCTTACCCCCGGCTCCCGTAAGAAGGAACCCAAGCACCTCAGCCGAAGCAATCCACAGCGATTCTTCACAGAAGTGTGCAAAATTCTGTATTTCTTCACCCAGATTTGGCTAACGAAGATCAGTTCTCTGCCTCTGTTCTCCGCTATGAGCTCTCCAGGCTTGGCTTGGAAACAGCACGGGGCCCGCACGTCACCTTTACACAGAGGTGCCTGACCGGAGCTGCTGCCTTCAGGGAAGCAGAGGTGGCCCTGCACATACCGACTGCCATCAGAGCAGAGGAGCAGACATGCTGGGTCAGAACCTGGCTCCGACCAGCCCAGCACTCTGCGCTCACAGGGACAACCCAGCTGCCCGCAGGATCCCTCCAGCAGGATGGGGGCAAGGGCTCCTCCTGCCCAGCTCCTCAGCCACTGCTGTGTGCAGGCAGGCCGCCTCTGGCGAAGGAGGGAGCACCTGGCCAGCCAGGCTAGTAGCCACGGATAGCCTCCTCCTCCATGAATCTGTCCAGACCCCAAGCAAACTGGAGGCCATCACCACATCCTGAGGCAGGGAATTCCACGGTTTGACTATACACTGTGTGAAGAAGTACTTCCTTTTATCTGTCCTAAACCTCCCGTCAATCAGCTTCACAGGATGACCCCGGGTTCGAATATTATGGAAGGAGAAAAACATCCCCCTCTCCACTTTCTCTCCACCACACATACTTTTAAACACCTCCGCTCACCTTCTTTCTGAGCATTCCCAGTTGTTGTAGCCACTCTCCAACCCCCCGATCATTTTCATCGCCCTTCTCTGTACTTTCCCCCACTTAATAATGTCCTTTTCAGGTAAGGTGACCAGAACGGAACACAGGATTCCAAGTGAAGTCTCACCAAATATTTGTGTAAGGGAAGTAAAATTCTGGCAGTTCAATTTTCTACTTTGTTCTTAATTATGCCTAGCACAGAGTGTGCCTTTTTCATGACCGCTGTTCACTGAGCTGTCCACCAGAACCCCAAGATCCCTTTCGTGATCGGTCACTGCTAGCTCAGATCCCGTCAGTTTATTCCTAAAATCGGAATTTCTCGCCCCAACAGGCATGACTTTGCACTTGCTTCCACTGCACTGCATTGGCCATGCTGAAGCCCGTTTTCCCAACTGGAAGAGTTCCCTTGGGATCCCCAGATAGCTTGACTTCACCAGCAACATTGGCCGCCTTGCGGCTCACTCCTAATTCCAGATCATGTATGAACAGCCTGGATGCTAATACAGAGCCCTGCAGGACTCCACTGCGACACCTCTCCACTGGGAGAAAAATCACCAATCCCCACCCTCCGTCCTCTGTTCTTGAAGACCTCCACACTTTAGTTCAAGACTGCGTGGTCTGCACAGGAGGCGCTGACGAAGGACTTTGCCAAAAGCCTTTGGGAAGTCCGAGGAGACAAGGTCTCCTGGATCGCCCCATCCATGCGCTCGCTGACCCTCCCAAAGAGCTCCGGGAGGTTAGTGAGGTTACTGTCAGGAAAGGAAGGACAGCGCTGCGCTAGGCTCACAGGAGTCCTCGGCCTTCCCCTTTACAGGCAGCGCCTCAGCAGCTCACCAGCTCACTCTGACGAGGAGCAACCTGTGCCGGCAGCATGCAATTCCACCCGCCCACCCTCAGTCTGGGTCACGGACGAAAATGCTCCTTTCGCACTCGGCTGCCCTCGCCCTGCCGGGACACAGCAAAACTGCCGAGATCCCTGAGGGCGGGGGGAGAGGGCACTCCCCCCTGGCAGGACCAGCCTTGTTCTCCTGAAGCAGAGCCTGTGACCGGGGCTCCCCATGCAGGGGAGAGTCAAGCGGCTTTCCTGGTCCTTGCACCCCATTCCGTCGCTTGCCTTTCATTCGGGACTCGCTGCCCGGCTGAACTCATTTTGCAGAGAGGAGTGGAGGGCACCTACCACGGCAGCGAAGTAGATGGGCATCAGCGGGTGGCACGCAAGGAAGAAATCGTACAACCGCACCACGTGTCTGAAATCGGAGAGGACGTGTCCAAACCACGTGATCAGCCAGCTGAGAGCAAAGATGGTCCCCACTTCGGCACTGTGGAAACAGACACGAGACGTTCCAGGTAAAGAGGCCATGGAGGCCATTCCCTCCCGTAAACCACAAAATGCAGCCCTGACACACTTCCCTTTGTACCAGGACGCAGACCATGCCTGATCAAAGACATGCCACAGGTGTGCAAGCCCAGCTTCCTGTCTCCAGCCTGCATGGTTTGGGAGAAGCCAGCAGGAATCCGTGGTCCAAGATGCCAGCTGATGCGCTATCAGGAGGGGCCGGCCCACGTCTTAAGAGTAATGGAGAGTTCCTGCAAACGGGTTCCATACCACACTGCGCAGGCCACGCTCACGGCTCCTTCTATTTCTGCTCCCGGGATCACACGGAAGCATATGAACACAGACAATCTGCAAGCCACGAGCAGACTCATAACTTTCTGCAGGGTTTGCTTCTCCTACAAAACCCCTCTGGGTGCACACATGCGAAGGTTGCGGGGGTCTGAGAAAAACATCGCTCGAGACTGTTAAGGAGCGCCCCGAAGTGAGCAGCAAGGGATAATTTCTCGGGGCAACTTATCCGATGGGCGCAGAAAGAAAGGAAAGAGCAAACATTCCACGTACCTCTCCATGAAGTCGTGCAATTCTGGATTCACCTGGTCTATAATGGGCATCAGGTAGTTTAGGATGTGCTTGGTGTTGTCCATAGTTGGGTCCATGAAATCCCTGCCAGGCAACACAGGTAGGTTAGCCAAGCGACTCCTGCTTTTCAGAGAAGGCAGCTCTTCCAGACGTGAGCCGGATGATGGACCTTTTCAACTGCAGCTTTCCGCACAGAGCAGATCGACACAATTCTGACTCAGTGCAATGGCTTACGTGAAGCAAACTTTCTGCCCCAGCGAAATTCTGTTTTCAGACACTCAAGAAACCTCTACTTCCCAGCAAGCTCTGCAGAGCCAGCACACTTCTCCAGGCGTTGGTAGCTTCTAATATTTAGGAACGGCACAGAAGTGGTGTCTCCAGGAGCCTAGCCTTGCCTCGTTCAGGCCTAGAATTCTAAGCATCAAGGAACTCGGCACTGTCCCAGTGCCCTGCTCCAAGTCACGCGACTCTCACCGCCCCCTCCCAATTCTGTCCTCTTCTTTTGCCCCAGAGAGTTCGGCCTGCCGACCCACCCTCACGGCAGCTCTTCCGCAGGTCCGCTAGTCTGAGCTTTTCCAGCAGAGCAGCAAAGGCGGGGGAGCAGGGGCCCCTTTTTTTTTAATCATAAAGGAAAGGAGGCCTGGGAGAGAGGAAGGAGAGGTGCGGTGCCCACTTTAAAAAGGCCACTGTCTTTTCCCTCACTGGACACAGAGGAAAGCCAGAGGGTGCAAGCTCTGTCGCGAGGCCACACACCAAAAGAAAGGGAAGCAGGAAGGGGTTCTGGCAGCTTCGTACAAGTTTCACCAGCCCTGGACACCCAAACGCGAGACGACTCGGGGTGAGGAGAGGGGAGCGCTCGGAAGGTGAAACCCGAGAGCACGCCTCTTCCTTGCCTGCCACGCCTGGTTCTGGCTCGCCCTGCATCAAAGGCAGACGCACCACACGCTGCCTGAAAGAGGCCCGTGACTCCGGCCCTGGACCTGGGAAGGCCCGCACAGCAACAGAAGGGCCTGCTTTGAGGCGCTTCGGGAGGAGTCCTGGGCGCGCTCCCACACGGGGAGCAGTACCTGAGGTGATGGGTCGAAAGCTTTTCCACGAGGGCGGTTGCCAGCCTCTCCCCAACTACGAGCAGAAATGTGACCACGATGTCGTGGTAGCCTTGGTAGTAGTGCAGCTGCGGGTTGCGGTGCAGGACTTGCAAGATGCTGTCGATCAGCTCCTCCTGCAGCCCCTCTCTCTGCTCGTCCGGCATCCCTGCGGAGAGAGCAGCACGAGGGGCTTGCTGAGTGGAGGGCAGCCGCCTCAGGGCACCTGCATCTTGAGGCTCGGGGAGTCCAGGGTCCCTCTGACAGCTAATCCTGAAGGGAGGGTGAAGGAGAGGCTCCTGGGCTTAACTTCCGCCTGGCTCCCTGCTACCTTCTTATGAAAACAGCGCACCGTCTTGCAAGCGGAGCTGTGGATGCTCAGGAACTGCACGGGACGAGCCCAAATCCCCTTCACTGCCTTCACCTCCCCGGCAAGAACGCCAGCCTACGCTATGAGCCAGACATCCGCCTTTCCTACAGAATGGGACTCCTACTGAATCAACAGTCCGCCTCTGCTTCGTTAAGGATGAGGAAGCGATGGGTGCTGCTGCGGAAGGGGCTGTAGCTCAGTGGCGTGCCAGGATCCCAGGTTCGGGCTCTGGCAGCCCTCACTGGAGCAGCAGGGCTGGGAGAGACCCAACAGACTTCTGCGAGCCCGAGTAAGCAGTAGCGTAACTGGGCTAGGGAGGCCTCTACTCTGGCCTGGCAAAAGTCAGTCCATGCATTCAGCTGACCTGGGTCTCTCTTAAAAATGGGGCATGTTTTAACCAGTTTTACTGCTTAGGGATTTTATTGTATTTAAGCGGTATATAAATATCAATCAACAACTGCTTTGGAAAGATTAGGTAAGACAGCATTCCAGCAGCCAAGTTCCAAACCTTCTGGCTACCAATATTCAGTAAAAACGGACCCTCTGGCAGCGTGCAAGGCCAGCTCCTACAAGGTGAGTCACGGCAGCAATGCCAGGGCAAACGAAAGCCACACCTTCCTGCGCACAGAGAGCTTCCCTCTGTGAGACCCACTAGCAAAGTGGCTCACAGGCACCGGGCCGGTGTAAAAAATGCCTCCTGTTTCGCGTGAGGCCGAACTGCAGCAGGTGATCAAGCAACCGTCAGGGGAAGCTGGCAGCAGCCTCCCTGTGGACCATCGCACTGCTGGCACGCAGAGCAGTGCAAAAGAGGAGAAGAGGCCCTCCCTAAAGACCCACTTGTTCTGGCCACATTACTGCATCCGGCACCTCCACGTTATGAACTAAAACTGTTCAGCTGCCTCAGCGTTCTGTCGTCGTAGTTCTGCAAGAGGGGCCAATCTCCAGAGTACTTTGCAGAAAGCTGCTGCAAGGAAGCAAGCTTCAATCCAAGCTAAGTTTGCAGTGCAGTCCAAGCGCTTCACACGACAAACAAAATAGGAGCGATCCCTCGTACCTGGAGGAAACCGACGGAGGGAACGCCTCACGTCCAACAACACCTGCTGGTAATCTTTACTGTTCTGCCGAAGTTCCTCCCCTAGCAAAGACAAAAGAGCGCTACAAATCCACGGCAGGCACAAAGCAGGGCAAGATACAGCCCACATAAAATAAGGAGTGTGTCTGTACAGTACAGTCATAAAGACTTTAATTGCACCTATTAACGAGTATTCATCGGTGCTTGTGGTTTACTCCAACGACTGAGATGCCGATAACACTGTCAGTGACGAGAGGGCAGGCCTGGGACCCGGAGTTCCTGCTCACCCATGAAACTCACCTCGTGACCCTGGGCCGGCCATGACCTCCCAGCTTGACCTACCTCTCAGGGTTGTTGTGAGGATGAAAATGGAGGGGAGGAGAACCCTGTAAGCCACACTGAGTTCCTTCCAAGAGGAAGAAAAGTGGGGCATGGATATAATGCAGCAAGTGTCAACTTCTAAACAACGCCAGTGTTGCTCAACGGCAAATTATAGTGTAACTCTGTGTTCATCCGTCATACAGCCGCCTCCTTTCGCAAGCAGCGTCAGACCTGATGACGGACGGGTGCAACCTGGATAAGCCTGACCGCTGGCTGTAGCGATGAGTCTTTCAGAGCTCTGCTCCCAATTCTGCACAGATTTTCATGAGAAGAAACACTGCTGCCCCAGGGGCAGGCACTGAAATCATCCATATGGCCCAACTCGGTAGTTGCCAAGGTAGGCTGTATAGAAGCCTATAGAAGCTTTTGGGCTTTTCTGGAGGCAGAAATACCTGCCTGGGTGCTGCTTGCTGGTTTCTCCCAGCACCAGTTAACTGGATACAGTCGCAAACAGACAATGATAAAGAAAGAAACTGGGGGCCAAAACTAAACACTGATCTGTCTCCTCGGCTTGTCTGCATATCATGTGAGCTTGCGGTTGAGGAGGCTGAAAGCGAAAGAAAAGCAAGCACTGAAGACAGGAAGCCCTGCCCTCATCAGACCCCTCATGTGACGTCTTGTTCTATTTTCTGAAAAAAGAGTGGGGGGGGGATTTCATGGCAGCAGCCACAGGGCGCGGACCATTTCTGCTCTCCTACTCAGTCGGGTGTGGAAGGGAGCAGCTCTGCCCCATCGAGGCATTTAGGGAAGAGAGGGGAAGAGAGAAGGGCAAGCGGAAGGGAGAGCAAAACAAAGGAGAAGGGATGCCCTCTGCATTCTTTCAAGGCCAAGAAATTGACCGCGATTAAAAAGTGGAGCTAACGGGAATGTCCCAGGGCCAGGAAAGGCCTGTGCATTTATTTATTTATTTATTAAAACATTTTTATGCCTCCCCATTCGCCGAAGCCTCAGGGCGGCTTACAACATAGATAAAACAAGTTAAAATCCATATAAAATAATCTTAATTAAAACACACATTATAAAATAAGCCGCCCTGGCCAGATAAAATTCAATTGTATTTAGCATTTAAAATGTTGCTTAAATAAAAAGGTCTTAGCCTGGCGCCGAAAAACAAATAACGACGGCGCCAGGCGGACCTCTCTGGGGAGTGCATTCCATAACTTAGGCGCCACCGCTGAGAAAGCCCTTCTCCGAGTAGCCACCCTCCTAATTTCTCTCACGGAGGGCTCCCGGAGAAGGGCCTCTCCCGCCGATCTCAGGGGGCGACTGGGCAAATATGGATGTAAGCGCTCCTTCAGGTAACCAGGACCCAAGCCGTTTAGGGCTTTATAGGTCATTACCAACACCTTGAATTGGGCCCGGACTTCAATGGGGAGCCAGTGAAGCTGACGGAGAACTGGCGTCATGTGAACATAACGTCCAGTCCCCGTCAGCAGCCTGGCAGCTCTATTCTGAACCAATTGAAGTATCCGGACCGTCTTCAAGGGTAGCCCCACGTAGAGCGCGTTACAGAAGTCAAGACGGGAAGTCACCAGCGCATGAGTCACTGTTGCAAGGCACTGTTGCATCCCTTCCTTAAATGGAGGGAACGTGCCTTCCCAAGTTCAGGAGCCCTGTAAACCCAACTTTGGCACTGGGCACTTCCTTCGGGGCTTTAGCAGAGCTCAGGGACACCAGAAGCATGGTGCTTCCTGTCAAAAACGCCTTCCAATGCACTTGGCCGTATCCTTGCGGAGTGCCTTGCCCTTCAGCTGCATCTCCAAATAGATTTACTGCCATTTGTGGGACCACAAGACTTTCTGGACCCTTGATTTTTTCCCCAAGTCCAAACAATGGCTGGGTCTGCCTTTGCTACCACTAAATATGTAACAAGGGGGAGCCAAGGGACAGCTCTGTCTGATTGCTAAAAGCAAGAGAGCACTCCACTAAAACTTTGAAAATACATTAAAAATCCCAAACTGTGTGTTTGCTTGTACTCCCTTGGGCCTCCTGCCCTGCCCCACCCCACAGCTTCCCCCGAGGATCAAGAGCCTTCACCTGGTGGAGGTGGCAGGTCCTCCGTGTTCACATTAAGCAGCTTTGGCCAGACTCTGCAGCGAATCTCATCCATCAGGAGCCCCCCTTCACTGATGGCCATGCGCCTGAGGGCAGCAACATCCACAGGATCGCTGTTCAGGGCCTGATAGATCTCGGCTTCTTTCCTTTTCTTCTTCGAATCGCAGTCTGTGAAGGAAACCAAGGACACATCAGACTTGGGAGCAGTTTTCTCCAGTAATGGGAACAGCCTCCGCTCGCAGCCGGAAACAAGCTAAGAAAGTTACCGGAACTAAGCTGGGACAAAACAGCAGTCCCACAAGATCAGCCTTGCCTAGTGGGGGACTGGTTCGCCGAGTGACTGGGCTCCCTAGAGAACAGTGATGCGCGGATCTAGGGCCTCGTCCGCAAATTAGGCAACGCTTGTGGCAGTCGTGCTTGGGACGGCAGCACTGCTAGGGCTCAGCCGATTTGTTCTCGTAACCTTTGCATGCCAAGGTTCAGCAGCATTATTAAAGCATATCACCCCTGCATATCTTTAAGAAGATTTGACCAACACGTTCAAGCAGCAAATAAGTGATAATAGCCTAAACACAACAGGCTCCCAAAGGGCCCAAAGCTTTCACATTTGCACTGAGACTGCTGCTACAGATAAGTGCAAAGCCAAAAAGCAGATGATAATAATTGGCTTATTTCCATTTGCTTCGGCATTATCTGCTGGAAAACCTCAAGAGCGAGCCAAGCACGAGGAAGCATCACCCGCTGGCATTTAAAGGCCTCTTTCAATCGCCCTGCTTGCCATACTTTCAGCCTAAATCAGTCTTAGAATGCTGACCGGAATAATTCTGAACTGAAGGCCTTTACTATGGCAACGCTGTTTGTCATTCTGCTTGAAGCCTTGGAAAACACAAACTAAGGGGAGGGAGACCAAAAAGCTTCATCCCCTAAATTATCCGAATCCCTCCTGTTGGCAACAGCATCTTTACCATTTTCATACATCATGTATGTTCTCCTGAACTTCCAGCTGTATGTAGTAGGATTGTTTTGGTATGGAATGCCACAAGCACTCCATTTAAACTGAGTATAGCCTACAGCTTGGAAAGTGATCAGATTGCTCCTAGACACAAAATACATCCAAAAATGTATCTTTGGTCGAGCAAAGAGGGAGATTGCTAGCTCCAAATTCTAAAAGTAAGGGCAGTGAAGCTGTGGAGGCTGTTCTATTTGGTCACACAAACAACTGCTTTCTAATTTGAGGGTTGTCTGAGAAAGACCAAGAGAGCTGCCTCCGGGGCAACTCTCTACTGAACCCAACCCTGTCATATTGCCAGGGTGGAGGGCTGCACTTCCCCCCACTGCAAAGGCTCCTGAAATTCTTGATCCTAAGACTAGAAGGGAAGGGCAGGGATTTCCCTGCAGTATGGGGGGGGGGGGCACAGGGAGAGAGATGGTGAGGAAAGAAGGGGTTTGTTTCAAGCCATCCAACAATCTCTGAGTTGAGCCAAGATTTGAGCAGGGGAATTCCTGGTCTAAACATTACCACACCTGAGACTTGCTTAACTTTGCCAGTGCAATCACACACACCCATACCTGTAACTTTTCATCCACTGAAAAAAAATACGAGCAAAGGAGGGCTTTCAAGCCAAGTTACGCTGCTCTTAACCAACTTCAGCCATCAGTTCTTCCCGGGCAAAACCCGCAGCAAGGGCACTACCATAAATTCCTCCTGTCTTTACAGTCCCTTCTAGAGCAAGGCTGGGGGTGGGGGGGAGTTATGTTTGTTTCCAGCACTGGTTCTCTCACCAGTACTTAGATGATTGCTAATGGCCTCCAGAACTCGGCCAAAGCCAACACATATTCAGTTCCAGGATTTTTGTGGTTATGTGGATCCTCCCATCCCAGCAGCAGGAGGAAGTGGAAAGAAGCGCTGTGAGGCCGATTGTACTTGGTGGCAAACACTCAGGTTGAGCTGCATCAGGAAACTGCTGCCAAGTATTTCAGACGAAGGAACCGAAATCTCAACACTTGCTTAGTGCCAAAGGGAGACGGGACTTCTTGGTAGCCATTGCTCCATCTTGTGGAAGAGAATTCTACAGTGTAACTCTGCACTGTGTGAAGTCCCTCTTCTTATCCGTCCTGGATTGCCCACCAATCAGATTCATGAGGCGACCCTGCTGATTCTAGTATTATGGGAGAGAGAAATGCCTCCCTTTCCACTTTTTCTACCCTTTGCATAGTTTTAAACTTTGCCCCATGTCTCTCCTTAGCTGCCCTTTTCCCGAAGCTAGTCAGTCCAGGATGTTGTACCCCTTTCTCCTACGAGTCGCTCCAGCCCCTTGATCATCTTAGGAGCCTGTTTAGATACAAAAAAGCCCCACTTGGCTGACTGGGAAATGCTAGGAGCTGTACATTTTCCTTCTGTACAGGACCGTGCCTTAAGCCGTCTTTTCGGCACTTTCCCCAATTCTACAATATCCTTTTTAGGTGTGGCAATCAGAACAGTGCACAGTATTTCACAAGTGGGTGCACTGCAGATTGCGCAAGTAGGGTTTACTTTCGATTCCTTTCCCAGCTATGCCTAATATTTATTTATACGCCAGTTCATCTGAAGCGGTACCACTTAATACATGTTATTATGGTTTCCTTCTCTCTTTGTCATGTTTTTTAGTGCTAAATTGTACGGGTGTCAATGGAGTGCTTGGATGATAGAAGCTGCTGTGCGTGTGGGCTTCTCTCTCACACACACACCCTCAGTAGTTAAGTCTGTGTGAAATAATAATTTATTTCTCCCCTACAAGGAGAACAGAAGCATAGGCGTGAATAGGCACATGTATGAGGATGGCTGATAAGTTCTCAACTTAAACAGAATAGTTTGTTTACATCCTGCACTAAGCTATTTTCAACCCCTCCCCCTCCGTATGCGTGTGCAAGAGTACACACATTCTCTGCAGCGGCACAGCTGATGGGAATGTCCTTGCACAAGTGTCCACTTTACTTTTTCACTTGCATTTTAGGGTAATGGTGCAAATGCTTCCTGTTTCAGCTGGCTGTGAGAGCGGACTAAGTAAGATTTTTACTGGTACTGTATCCAATCTGTTATTAGATTTCTAATATCAGGGCTGGAAAATCTTCATTAGATTTTAATGTATATTTTTGCCTATCACTATCACTCCATTGCAGAATGGCAGGTTGTTATGGTTTTTAGAAAGGTGCCAATAAGGAAAAAGCCCTGCCCAATTCTGTTCATGTTTTCTCGTAGGTAAGTCACGGAGTTCATAAAAGCCTGCAGAACAGCACAGTTCTGCATCTCTAAAATCCCTGTTATATACAGTGGGGGGATGAGATACAAATGCGCATTCATACACCCCAGGTGTCAGGCTGCAGCACACAACCCACTCGGCCAAGAATGCAAAGGGCCAGGTAAGGGGCAACTGTCTGCGTCCTCCCCCATTCCTTTTACTTTCCTTCCACAGCACCGCTTGGAAACGTACCAGCCTCCAAAAGCGTGCAGAAAAAGCCACGCTGCGCTTCCACGCGATACCCCACTCGGGGCAAGGAAGGGGTCGTGGCTGAGCGGCACAACGCCCGCTCTGCCCACCGGAGGCTCAGCCCTCGACAGCCCCGGGTGGCATGCAGCCACGTTCCGGCGGCTTCCAACGCCCCGTGACTCGCGAGGCGGCGCTTGCCAGCAAAAACAAAGGCCCACACACGTGTTCGTCTCCGCGGTCCCACGAGACACTCTGCGCTGTTGCCTTTCCCGCGACAAGCGGAAATTAACAGACGGAAGGCGCGACGAAAGCGAGGAGGAAGAGGCGTCACCTGTTGAATTTCTGCCTGTCCCCCCAGGCCAGAGTGGCAGCCCCGCACATTCCGGAGAAGGGGTTGGCCACACCCCCACTGCCCGCCCCCCTGGAAGCGGCACTTGCGATTGGCCGCTGCGGGGCGAGGGGGCGGGCACGTCGCGCACGGCCACGCCCCTCCGCTGTCCCTTCAGGGCCTCCGAGTCGCCTCAGCGAAGGCCTCCCTGCCCCGGCTCGGACCCCGCGAGCCCGCCGGCCGACGCCTGCGCCCCTCCGCGAGCCCGGGCCTCCCCCGTACCTCGCCCGCCGTTCTCCTGCGCCGGCCTCCGCAAGGCCATGGTCTCCGGGCGCCGCCCAGGAGCATCCCGGCCGGGCCGCCTCCACTTCGTGCCTTTTCCCCTCGCTTGGCTCCGCCCCTCGCTCTGTGGCCCGCTTCGCCTCGCGCCGCCCCGCACGTCAGCGCCGACGTCACCGCCCGTTGAGGAGCAAGCAACCGCTCGCGGGCGCATGCGTCGAGTCCCTCGTCCGACGATCAGTTACCATAGAGATGAAGGGACAGGCTAGAGCGTCGCAGAGGCTGAAGTTTCAGCATGGGAAGGAAACACAGAGATAGAAACGTTAGAGTGATGCGCGCGGCCTAGTTTTGGTTTGGTTCGTGGGGGCTCTCGCTTTCGTACGGGCGGCGGGACTCGCCACGCGTGGCAGCGGGTGCGGCCGCCAGAGCGCTGGACGGGGCCTGGGGAGACCCGCGTGTTCGCGCCCAGGCGACCTGAACGCTCAGCGGCCCACTTGCGTTCAGTCGCTGATGCTCAGCCCAACCTACCTCTTAGGGTTGTTGTGAGGACAGATGGGGAGAAGAAGGTTTCCGTACGCCAGGTGCCTCAGCTACCTTGCAAGAAAGGAGGTGAGACAGAAGTATTATTATTAATAATAATAACAACAACAATAATTCCTAAGCAGCATTACTTAACAGAAAAAAAGCGTTGCTGGTCAGAGCAAGAGTTCTGTGCACATGGTGGTCAATCAGCCGCCCAAGCAAAATCCACAAGCACGACAAAAGTATAACCCTGCCCATGTTCCCCGGCATCTGGTTTACACAGGAATGTTGTTACGTGCTGTTATCTCGGACTGACAGTGACGCTATCAGTAAGAGCCTTCCAAAAAGCCCCATCCATGGTCGTCTGGCTCAGCGGTTCTAAAACCAAGGCTGTGCTTCCTTTATGGATCCAGTGCGTCCGTCGTCGGTCTTCCTCCTCTTCTCCCGCCTCCAGCTTCCCCTAGCAGGACGGTTTTCCCGTGTTGTGCCCACACAGTGTGACAGCCTCAGATTCGTCACGTTTGCTTCCAGGCTGGTTCGGACTTGATTTGATCCAGGACCCGCCTTGGTCTGTCTGGGGGTGCAGGTGCTTGCAAAGCTCTCTTCCAGCACCTTGCTTAGATGCCCAGGGCCGTCTGAACAGCATGATGGGCCTCGGGCAGAGCAGCGTACTGGGGCCCCTGTGACAACTACTCACAGGAATAAAAATGTAAAAATGAAGGGTTAACATGCACAGATTAGTTTGGGGCCCACGGGCAAGTGCCCATCCGGCCCATGCGTGAAGACGGCCCTGTCAATGCCTCCATTTTCCTTCTGTCGGCTTTCTTCCCTGACCAGCTTTCACCCCTACACAAAATGATGGAGAATAAAACAGTGTTGATGATCTTAGCCTGTAAAGCCTTTGTGTGGAGCACAAGAAGCTACTGGGTGCTCCTGGAAGAAAAGGGAGTTGATTGTCCTGGTGCGTAACCTGCACAAGAAGCTACTGTTAAGGGCAGGAGATGGAAAGGCTGAATGGCTTCTTGTAAGCAAGGCATTGGACAAAGGCTTATTTTATTTGTCTGTTCAGTCGGTGCATAGAAGATAAGGAAAGCTGGATCTGAAAGAGAGGAAGGAGTGAGAACTGGCACGCGACATAACACAGCAAGGACTTGAAATGACTCCTGCTGAAAGAAAAAGCGCAAAAGCAGGACTGCAGCTGGATATTAAGGACATAAAAATGATAGAATCATAGAATAGTAGAACTGGAAGGGGCCAAGGAGCCCTGCGAGTCCGATGCCCCGCTCAGTGCAGTCCAAGCATCCCTGACAGGTGGCTGTCTGGCTGCCTCTTGAATGCCTCCGGCATGGGAGAGCTCACCAGCCTCCAAGGCCTTTGGTTCCACGGCTGCACCACGCTAACATGCAAGAATTTTGTCTCATGTCCTGCGAGAATCTGCCTCCGTGCAGCATGATCCCATTATTCCGCCTCTGCACTCTGGGATGATTGGGTAGCAATCCAGGCCCTCTTCTTTGTGGCAGCCTTTCAAGTACAGTGGTGCTTCGGCTCACGGACGCCTTGGTTCACGACCAAATCGGGTCGCAAATTCGGTTGGGTCAACGGCCGATTCCAGAAGGTGGTGCTGGGGGATTTTGGCTCTGCGCCATGACAGTTTGCCATGGAGTTCCGCAGGGGTCCATTTTGTCCCCCTTGCTCTTCAACATCTACATGAAACTGCTGGGAGAGGTCATTAGGAGGTGTGGGCTGCGGAATCATCAGTACACTGATGACACCCAGCTCTCCCTCTCTTTTTCAACCAATCCAGGTGAGGCAGTGGCTGTACTGAACCGGTGCCTGGCCGAGGCAATGGGCTGGATGAGGGCCAATAAACTGAAGCTCAATCCAGACAAGACGGAGGTCCTGTTGGTGGGTGGTTCGAACTCCTGGGTAGGTGACTTAGACCTTGCCCTGAATGGGATTGCACTCCCTCTAAAGGACAGGGTCCGCAGCTTGGGAGTGCTCCTCGACCCTGAGCTGTCGTTAGAAGCTCAGGTGACGGCGGTGGCGAAGAGCACCTTCCTTCAGCTGCATCCCTACCTGGAGGATGACTGCCTAGTGGCAGTGACACATGCATTGGTTACTTCCCGGTTGGGTTTCTGCAACGCGCTCTACGTGGGGCTGCCCTTGAAGACAGTCCGGATACTTCAGATGGTGCAAAACACAGCAGCCAGGTTGCTGACGGGGACTGGGCGTTATTCTCATATAACCCCAGTCCTCTACCAGCTTCACTGGCTTCCCATTGAAGTCCGGGCTCAGTTCAAGGTGCTGGTTATTACCTATAAAGCCCTTAATGGCTTGGGACCTGGATACCTAAAGGAACGCCTTCTTCCCTATTTGCCCTCCCGCCCCTTGAGATCAGCAGCAGAGGCCCTCCTCCAGGGGCCCTCCATGAAAGATACTAGGCGGGTGAGTACCTGGAGGAGGGCCTTCTCTGCAGTGGCACCCCGACTATGGAATGCGCTCCCCAGAGAGGTCCGCCTGGCGCCGTCGTTATTTGTTTTTCGGCACCAGGCTAAGACCTTTTTATTTCAACAATATTTTAATAACTTAATAATAGCTATACATGTTTTAATCTGCAGCCAGGGTGGATCTGGAATTTATTTGTATTATGTTTTTTACTACTCTTCTTTTTTATTTATGTAAGCCCTCCTGAACTCTGCGAAAGGATGGCATAGAAGTATTCTAAATAAATAAATAAATCTAGGTCATGCTGCGGGGGTGGTGGCGGGAAGATGGCCACGATCTTTGTTGTTCTTTGTCACTTTGCTTCACATTTTTCTGATTAAAAAAAAATAGTTCCAGAACAGATTAACCTTTTTACATTGACCCTTATGGGGAAATGTAACTTGGCTCACGACCAGTTTGGCTCACGACCACAGTCCTGGAACAGATTAAGTTTGTGAGCCAAGATACCCCTGTATTTGAAAAGTGCTATCATGGAAGGGGAGGGATGAAGGAACTAGATCCTGGAGGTAGTATGCGGCTTCAGAACTAGTTGCCACGTCTCCTCCGTGAATTTCCGCAGTCCCCTCTGAAAGCCTCCCACATTCATGGCCATCATTGCATCTCATGGAAGTGAATTCCTTTTTTTTTAAATAAGTTTTATTCTTAATATACCTAACAAAAAGAAACTAAATAACATCAGTCATTGAAAACATCAGACCTACTGGTTCAGCCCCCCACATTTTTTCTTTTTATGTTAAACTATAAACATGTTTAAGGCAATGCATAGTCCCGTTTCTCTAGCCAATAATAAAAAGAATCCCAGGTTTGATAGAAGTCTGTAGCTCCTTTCTCCCTCAGAGACAAAGTCAGTCTATCCATTTCTGCACAGTCCAGAATCTTTTTTAGAATCAGTTCATCGGGAGGTGGTTCTTCACTCTTCCAGTGTTGGGCAAATGTTAGGCAAAACCCATCTTGGTAATTTAGTATACAGTTTTGTCTTTAACTTTTCCCACACTGACATTAGTGATTTCCTAATATAATAATTTAATAAACAACCATGTACCTTACACTTTTCATACCGCATATAAGCATGCCAACCCATTTGCAAGTCATACCCTTCAAGATACAAGATTCTCTTATTTCTTAAAGTTATCCATTCTTTTAGCCACATTAAAACAGAGGCTTGGTAATACAACATCCAATTAGGAAGACCAAACCCCCCATTCCCCTTAGCCTTCTCGAGCATTTTTAATCAAATCCTTGGTTTCTTCTTTTATGGAAGTGAATTCCATCGTTCATCCACACTGAAGTATTTCCTTGAATCTGTCCCAGTAGCTTCATGGCATGACTCCATTCGGTTCTGTCATGAAAGAGAGGGTAAAATGCTTCCTATCCACCCGAGAGCGTAAGAACATAAGGAAAGCTCTACTGGATCAGACCAAAGGCCTATCCAGAGCAGCACTCTGTACACAGGGGCATCCCAGCTGCCCCCAGGATCCCCCCAGCAGGATGGGGGCAAGACCTCCTCCTGCCCAAGCTCTCCAGCAACTGGTGTGTGCAGGCAAGTGGCCTCTGGAAAATTCATTTATTCATTCATTTTTATACTGCTCAGTAGCCAAGGCTCTCTGGGCGGTTAACAAAATTAAAAACACCGAAGCAAGAGAGAGAGAAAACAATCAGACAATAAAACCACATTTGCAGCTTAATTAGCACGGAGATATAGCAGCAGTATAGGATAAAATGCTGCTAAAACTAAAGGTCAAAAGATAAAATGCTAAAGTTAAAAGTTAACTGTTAAAATGCTAGGAAAATAAAAACACTATCTGAGCCCGAGGACTAATTTGTCAATTAGGGTTAAGAATTTCACCTTCTCTCCTGCATCTTCTGCAGTGAAGACAGATGAAAAGAGTTTCTCTGCAATTCCTGATCCTTCTGTAGCGTTCCTTCACCTCCATTGTTTTATTTATTTATTTTTCGATTTATACCCTGCCTTTTTCCTACAAAGGGCTCAAGGCAGCTGACATCGTTCTCCTCCTCCATCTTATCCCCACAACAACAACCCTGTGAGGTCGGTTGGGCTGAGAGCCTGTGACTGTTCCAAAGTCACCCAGTGGGCTCCATGGCCGAGCAGGGACTCGAACCTGGATCGCCTTGTTGTACCTGACTCCCCAGGATCCTGACATAATAGAGATACCTATCAGCTTTCTCAGGGCATTCAGGATAGGCATGACTCCTCTAGGCTCCAGATAGGCATGACACGGCCAAACACTAGAATAATCAGCTGTCTCAGGGTATGCATGATAGGCTTAGCTCTCCTAAGCTCTAGCCCATTCAAATGTCTAGTGACTGCCTCAGAGAATTCCGTCAGAAAATGGAAAAAGCTTACCAAAGAACTGTAATGGGCAAAGATTGCTTAGAAGGTGTAAATTAAAAGATAAAACTTACTGCTAAAATCTGCTTCTGTATATCTGCTTCTTGCTTAACTGCTTATGTGATTCTGTAACTCCCCATTGTCACCATTGTTCTCATTCTTGTCAAAAACTGATTGTATTGTTTCCCATTTGCCAAAAACTCACTGTGAAGCTATAAAAACCTCATTCAAACTCCACCCGGTACCGCATTCTAACCATGAATGTTGGTCCCTGCAAGAAATCTTGCAGGTAATAAATCTCCTCTTTACTTTACCATCCGGTCTCTGGTCTTGTCTGTAACACCGCGGGTACAACAGCCCGAGTCCCAGCCCCACGCTCTTCCCCACGACACCACACGGGCTCTCACTGTTGTTAAGTGGCCCAACTAGACTTCTCTAGCTGGTTTCTTTCTTCTGGTGCATTTAAGGAAATCTTCGTTGCTGGCCTTGATGTTGGTAACAAGAGGCTCCTCAAAGCATTTCTTCGCTTCTCTTATCGTCTGCCTGCATCTCCCTTCCGCAGGCTGGTGCTCCCTTTGGCCTCCTCATCTGGGAGAGGCCGGCATTTTCAGAAGGAAGCCTTCTCCCATCTAACAGCCTCCTCGACTCTGCTTGCTGACTCTGCCAGTCCTCTCCTGGTGCTGCTTTTCCGAGCGTGTGGCACAGACGCTAATCTATCTGTGCCGCTTCCACTGTGCTTCTACTGTGTAACCCTCTTGACTCACACCGGCAGCTTCTTTTACCAGTTAAATCATTTCAAAGACATTTCCTCTTTTGCAGTCAAATCTTTTCAGCAGTCTTCCCCCTAAATATGTATTGAATTTGATCGTGACAGGCTCAGAGAACACTCAGAAGGCCAATCTCTCTTCACCTTCCTGCAATTCGTAACAATATTTAACCGCTCCAAGACATATCTCAAGCGAGAGAGAATGTTTCAATGGTGGCTTTCCTTACTGAAAGCACTTACAATAAAATATTTGAAGTAAGACGTTCAGCAAATAAGTCTTGATGGAAATAATTCACCCTAAAGGCAGGGTAGAATGTGTTAAATACCTATTTCATTAATGAACAAAAATGCATAAAGCACTGGGACACAGTATCATATGTTTCGGGAAGCCTTGATAGCAGCAGCAAGACAGGACAACTGGGTTCAGTAAGGAAGGGCCTCTCAGCTGGTTATTGAAAGATCACTCAGGCTCTCACAGCCAACTACAAGGTTTAGTTGTATTTGGTTATTATTAGTTAAAATATTATTATTAAAATATTAGTCATTATTTGTTTTTCGGCGCCAGGCTAAGACCTTTTTATTTAAAACTTATTTTGTTAAATTATTTGCAGTTATAGGATTTTAAATTTTTAGCCAAGATGCACCGGGGGTTTTTAAATATTTTTTTATTTTTATATTGTTATTATTTATGTATTTATGATGTATTTTGTTTCTGTTGTGAGCCGCCCCGAGGCTTCGTTGCGATGGGGGCGGCATAAAAATGTTTTAAATAAATAAATAAGTAGAGCATACACAGAGTGTTTTATTGATTCTGAGTCACTTGAAATAGCAGTTGATCAGGCAAAATAAGGGGAACACAGTTGTACTCAGAAAAACAAGACTTATCATCCCGCCTCACTGCCTTGCCATAAACAGATCAAGAAGGATGCCTCGTGTCTGGTGGGGAAGACCAAATGACCCCACTGCATTCGTGGGTAACTGTCGAAGTGCAATCTCTGTGTTTTATAGGCTTGCTAAAGCGCCTCCCTAACCCTGTATGTTCACCCATGTAACCTTTCTGTTTACTTAACTTGGCCAGCCTGTTCAAGGCAACTTTAGTTCAGAAGGCTTGTCACAGGCATCTAATTAGAGTGAAATGTCACTTTTCTTCATGGTGTTGTGAAGTGTATCCAGTCACTTTCCATATCAAAGTATCCAATCACCTTCCTGTGTATTGTATTCACTCCCCTTTTGTGTATTCTATATAACCCTAAGGAAATTTACAAGGGATGTTCCTACTTGGGCACCCAGGGATCCATGCATCCAATTGTAAATAAACCTGTTTGCCCTGACAAGAAGCTGGTTTCCGAGCCTTTGTATTGCGGATCGGATCAGTGTGACACAGTGAAAAAGAATGTGAGAGGTCAGCAGAGGAGACTTAATACAATAGCCTTGATGACAGGAGATTAACATTAATGATCATGGAGGCACAGGTATTATTGGGGGGTCTTGGCATGTAAATGAAGGTGATTACAATACTGCTAGAAAAACCCATCTGGCCACCTTATGAGTTTTGTTTGCTGTCAGCATAAGAATAGCCAGGGGTTAACTTTCCTTGGGAGCCCCATTCTGCAAAGGCTTTTTCCAACCAAAGGGAGTAGCCCTCTCTTAAAGGAACAGGTTAAAAATAAGCAGAACTAAGCAGAAGCCTGCCTTGGAATTCTGGTGCTTTCTGAGAAAGAGGTGCAGAGATGTTGCAGGTTTGATTTTACAACATACAGGCACATATAAGCAACCCTTTTCTACCAGGATTTATCTGGATTTCCCCAACACAGGCAACTACATACACATTTTCACTTTTGTATATATTCATACACTTTAAGGCAATAATGTGTGTTTATGGTTTTAAATAGTCTGCTTTAAAAATGCTGCACATGGCTACTCAGAAGTAATCCATGGGATGTAAAGATTAGCCCCCAGCGTTTAATGTCTGTCTCTTTTATGTTACAAATAATGTGTGAGCTTTGTTCCATTCCTAAATAAAAGAAGCCAAACTATAATCCAGAGACAGGAGCGCAGTAGGTGTAAATAACAAATTATTTCCAGGGATTTGTTAAAAGCGATCTCCATTTGGTAAATCCAGTGTCTGCAGGGAATAAGTTCCTCATGACAAAAGGCCCGCTGGCCTTTTTTTCTACCTAAACATGCATTGGATTGTGCTGCATACTGCTTAGGCCCATGGAAAGAAATTTTTCAGGAATACAAATGTCATCAATTTATTCACTGTATTAAGACATTTATATCCCATTTTTGTCTGAAAAAGCCTGCAAGGCAGCTTCATGCGGAGTAATGTTCAATCAATAAAAGCCTGTATTTAAAAAAACCCTTAAAACGCAGCAGGAACAGACACAATAGAAGCAGCAAAACAGTAGAGCACAACAGCTAAACATTTAAACGTTGTTATTTTTAAGACACAAATACAAAAATCATATAATTAAGAAACAAGCTAAGCGAGGCATTAAAGAGATCCTGAATATTATCAAAGAAGGAATGAACAGGATTGACTTTGTCCAGTGCCTGATTATACAAAGGCTTCGGGGCACGTCCTTTTCCAGGCGATTCTTCCGGCCGGCCGGCAGGTGGCGCTGCGCCGCTTGTTTCCGTCCGGAGCACTTTCCCCGAAGCACGGCGCGCGGGTAGGCGCCAGGAGCGGAAGCTCTGCCCTTGAGGCGGGCGGAAGCTGCGTTTCGCGGCCGGAGCAGTTTGGCGGTGCACCGGGCAAGATGGCGGACCGCGAGGAGGCGTTGAGGGAGTTCGTGGCCGTGACCGGCGCCGAGGAGGAGCGAGCGCGGTTCTTCCTGGAGTCGGCGGGCGGGGACCTGCAGGTACCCTCGGCCGCGGGGGAGCAGCCCCTCTCCCGGCAGCCCCCTCCCTCCGTGGCGAAGGGGAAACCGCCTGACGCGCGGTCTCCCCCCGCCGCCGCGCGAGGGGCCGCCCGCCCGCCCGCGCGCGCCACGAGCTGCCCCCAGCGCTCCCGTGGACCCCGGGAAGAGGCCCTTCCCACGTGCAAGCCGCCTAGATCCTCCCCCTGACGACGCTTTCCCCGGCTGCCGCCCTTCCTCCCTCTGCAGAACTGCCTCTTTGTTTCTCCTCCCCGGGTCATGAGGGGCCTTCCCCAGGGCCTCCTTCCTCTCCAGCTGCCCCCTCCTCGGGCTTCCATCGCCCCCCCGCTTCACATGAAAGAAAGCAGGGCCCCCCTTCCCGCACACGCGCACAGCATGGGCCATTTTCTTCCTGTCCTTGCAGCTCCCATCCCAGGTCGTCCTCCTCATTTCCCTTCCGCGCCCATCTCCTTATGTCCTTCCCGCGCCCTGGAATCATAAAGGGGTGCCTGGATCCCTTTCCTCAGAGCGTCTTCCTGGGCAGCTCCCTTTCCTCAGGTTCCTATCACGCTCCCCCCCCCCCCCCGTTGCTCATGGAACCAGAGAAGGAGCCTGCCACCCACAGCACGGAGTGTTGTTTTCCCTCCCTTAAAGCTCTTCTCTCAGTCCCTCTTCCGTATTCCCCCTCCAAGGTGGTGGGAGGGAATTTGTTCTTCCTATTTTTCTCTCTCCTCACCTTTCCTCTTCCCCCCACAACTTGGGGGAAGCCAACGTCCAGCCAAGATGGTTGTGAACCTGGCGTGGGATAGGTGGGTGGAAGAGTTTTGCCTGGGAACCTTTTTTCTGCCTTTTCTTACTGTGGAAAGCACCCCCACCCTAGCACTTTCATCCTTGTTATGTCAGACTTTGCTCCCCGGCACTGGAGGGATTCAGCTTTTTATGGTGAGCTGGTGGTAACAGGCTGTCTTCAATCCCATTTGCTCAGCTATTCATCTTTCTCCCGCCCCCACCACTTGAAGGACAGCCGGGCCTTCTGGCTGATTTTGCTCTAGAATGAAAGAGCATGTCTTCTGTGCTGCCTTGTTATTTAGGCCTTCGTGTGCCTGTCGCCACTGCCTTTCTTCTGATGAGGTCCTAAACTTTGGGACTTCATCAGGGAATTGCAAGTGAATTTCCAGCCCTCCAAATATGAGCTTATTTCTCCAAATTCTGATATATCCCAAATAGTGGATCAGGATGTATAGGAAAAAATTACACAAATGGGTGTTTGGAGAGGTTAAGTGGGTCTTCATCTAAGTTTGGGCTGCTGGAGTGGGGCCTGATTTTTAATTGTTTGGGCATTTCCCCTTCTAAATTTTCAGGTAATCTGGCATAGGCTGCAGCTAGAGATGGGGCTTGAATCAATATGTTACTAATTGCAGTTAGTTGCAATTTGATGGCTTGTGTTTCAGGAAGAACTGGTTTTTATGCATGGAGCCTGCTTCCAAGGAGATCAGGGCTGTTCCACTTATGTAGGCACCTCAGGCTGAGAGAGTCATCAGGCAAGCTGCTTGCATATTGCAGCTGCATTTTGATAAAGTCCACAGAGCTGCCTTGGATCTTCCATCTATTATGCTGATGACAGACTCGCCTTAAATACTGCTGTGCCATGTTCTGGTCCTCCACACACCCATAAGCTTGCTGGTTGCCCTGCCAGCCTGCCCTCATGTCTCCAGATGTAGCTTTGAAATGCCAGACTGGCACAGAATAAAGCCTCTCTGATCCACAATTGAACTACACGAGGGCCAGGAAGGTTGGGGTTGCTGTCTTTTGTAAGAACTCAGCTTCCTGCTCCAGGCGTGCTGTCCATCCAGTGACTAGTCTGGAGTGTTTGCACCTTGTGTGGGCGAGTGGGACAGATTGGGGGTTCTGCTGGTGTCCTCTGCAACCCATCCGTCTTCATACCTGAGCTGACAGAGGTGGTCTTGGATGTGATATTGGAGTCCCCCAGGACTCACGGACTTCACCATTCATGCTGAAGGCATCCCCTCTGAAGCGGCTCAGGGTTTCGTGGCCACCATCACAACCGTGGCTCTGTCCCAGCATGGCATTTGCCCTGCCACGTGCCTCAGGGCATATGCTAGACCTGATCTTCTTGGCTGGATATGAGGATGGTGCTCTGAGCATAGGGGATTCCAAGCCAGTCCCTTTGTCAGATCATTGCCTGTGGCTTTTCCCCTCTGCAAGGGTAGGGGGCCTGTTAAGGAACACCCCCCCCCCCCGCAGGCTAATGGAACTGCATGGTTTCCAGAGGACTTTGGGGGATTTTCTGGCCGATGTGGCTGACAGGGCCTGTCGAAGCCCTTTTTGCACTGTGGAATGTATAAGTGACCCTGGTGAGTGACATGCTCGGGCCCGAGTGCCCTCACTGTTGCAGAGCTCATAGTACACCTCAGAGCAGTGAGCAATGAAACAACTTGGGAGACAGCTTGGGTTCAGATGGGGGAAAATGCCAGTGAATGCAGCAGACACCTGGTATGTGCCCACAAGCGAGTGGGGGTGGCAAGGAGACATGCCTCAGTGCCTCTGTCCGAATTTCTCTTTGCCACCCAGTGGAGCTTTTCACGGTTGTCTGCAGCTTGGCACATTCTGACCCCAGGAACATCTCTGGACCATCTCAGGCCCGCTGCAATTTACTTGCTGGGCATTTCCAGGAAAAAGCCTCTTGCATCCACCGGGTTCCAGAGCCATAGCAGCTGAATATGTGGAGGTATCCAGAGCACAGCCTGCTCTGGTTTTACTGGATGAGTTTCAGCTGGGACTGAGATGCTGATTTTCTGATTTTTTGGCATTTTTATTGTACTTTATCATCTGTTTGTATGGACTGTGTAAATTGCCCAGAGTGCTTTGGCTGTGAGGAGGTATAGAAATGATGAAAAGAAAGAAAGAAAGAAAGAAAGAAAGAAAGAAAGAAAGAAAGAAGGTTCCAGAGGAGTATATGGACTTGCGTATTCCTGCCTGCACACACATACCTCAAAACACTCAGGGGCCAATCCATGGGATTAGCAAGGTGTAATATTTTCCTGAAAGGAGCTCTTGGTTTTGGGGCATAACTGGCATAGTTTAGAACAGGAGTGAGCAATTAATTTTCCTATGGGGCCACATGAGAAACTTTGACAGTTGTTAAGGGCCGGACCAATACACTTACAGCTCTGCTCAGTATATATCTCTATAAAAACAGTAAATGAACCTCATGCGGGCCAGTCAGGGTCAGCCATCGGGCCGGATGTGGCCTGCGGGCCGTACAATGCCCAGGTCTGGTTTAGAACTTTGTGCTTCCTCCATGGAAGGAACTTTGCTTTCTTTTTAACACCTTAAGGTTCTATCACTTGTCCCAGTAGTCACACATTTCCCCACAGTTGGGAATTCCATGTGGTATGTAGCCTTACATAAGGTTTAAAATGTGTGTCCTGGGACAAAAGCATTAATCTGATTGCATTTGCATGCCATCTTTCTGGGAAATCATGGCAAGGTGGTGATTTCCCTGTGCTATCTTTGCAACAACCTTTGGGGGATGCTTAGACAGAGACAGGGAGAATTGCCAGTGCCAGTCCATGAGTTCCAAACACACCAGGGATTTAAACGTAGACTCTCCTGGCCAGATGTGTCATTTGATCCCGTTTCACAACAGCTCAATTGTTCTTAGCATAAAGCATATTTAGCAGTGCTAAAATGCAATCTGTGTAACATATAAAGCATTTTGTTTCACACACCTCTCTTTAGCATATGAGCTTTGAGATCCTCTGTCTCTGTTGAGAAATTGCTGATTCCTTTTTTTCTGGTAGGGAAGCTGCAGTGCCATAACAAGAGTGACCATGCATGGTTGTCAGTGAAAAACAACCACAGAGTTTGTGGTACTTGGAGGTCATAATTGACTTGGGTTGGATAGGTATGGAATCTAAGATGATTGAGAAATAAGCCTATAATATACAGAACAATGAGAAGCTGCCAGTTGAGGTCAAAGTGAAATTAGCACTGAAATGCTGTGTACGTTTTTGTGGAAGTAAATCTCAGGGGAGCTTGTCAGTAGATATCTCTTAAAATGGCACTGTTAGGCTCTTAATTAGCCTTTGCCATAATTTTGATGCATTCAGCCACTAATCTGAGTTCCCCCCTTAAGGCCCACAGTAGGGGAAACCTTTGAAAAATTTGTTTTTCAAGGTGTGAGAATCCTGAATTTGTTCATGTAGGGGAGCATGTACAGGTTTGGCCCTTCATACAGGAGTTTCCATCAGAATGCCAAACTGTGACTTCTCCATTGACAAACAGTAGTGGAAAATTGCCTCAAGGGCTGCCTTGCTTTTCCCCTCCATTCTCTCTCTAGCAGGTGCCCCCACTGAATAACCACAGAGACGTGTGCCAATGAATAGCGAAGCCATGAAGCAGGCTAACGGCTTTTCCTTTGGCTTTAATTCTGTTTTCAGCAGCCTGCATTTTGGACCCCTGCTGCTTGGGAGAGTTGTACCCTCAGCTAGATTTTTGTTCCTCTCTTTCTTAGTAGGTGGTATCAAATTCTGATCAGCCTTCCAAATGTGCCTGGATTTGCCTTGCCCTCATCAGCAAATGACGCAGAGCAAGCAGGGCGGTTGTGACAATCCCCACCCATGAGCAAAAAACTCCGGCTTCAGCTGTCCTATATTAAACAGTTGGGCTTTTAAAAAAAACTTTTAGCCTTTCTTCTATTAACTTCCTCTCATTGTTAGTTTTATTCTCTGCCTCTCCACCAGAAATGGGCTGCAAGGGGCCATCTATAATGAAACTGATATTGTAATTGAAACTTAGAACATAAAATAAGGACACAATTAAAACCGTAGTGGAAGTGAGTCTCATTGCATTTAATGTATCCTGCGCCAGATCATGGACAGGAAAGCGACCAGCGTTGGTTGTTCTCTAGTTTCCTCCCTTTGCTTATCAAACACAGACCTTAGCAAAGCTCCACTCCCTTGTTTATTTGCCTCTTTCTGCATGAACTCTCTTGTACTTTTCATGTCACTTTTGGCCTTGCTGCTTTCCCCTCCTACTCTATCCATCGATTGTGTGTTTAGGTTTTCTGACTGAGCTTCCTTTTTCTCCAGTACTTTCCCATATTCCTTTCAGCGTCACTTGGCAATTGCAAAAATTTATTTTACATTCAGGCCCCCTTAGTTTCATGTATTTATTCAAGTAGCAGGCAGAGACCTGTTTAGCTCCGCCAGTGTCTTGTATGAACAATTTAACAAAGATTAAATGATGTTGATGCCGATGAGAGCTGGTACTTCATGGGCTGGGCTGGTCCATTTTACAGTGTGAATGAAGATTGTTGCCATATTTATGTATTTATTTGGATTTTTCTAACCTGTCCAATACAAAATGTCTCTGGGCGGCTTACAGGGTAATAAATATCCAATAAATACAATAGCTTATAGTAAGGGTGAGATATAATGGGACTTCTTGAACAATGGGAAGACTTCTGCCATTGAACCCGAAATTTACCGAGCACTCATTGCTGCTGATTGACAACACCAAGAGTGCCTTGTTGAGTAAATGCCACCTCCCTCCGTTTTGGCTCTGGATGCTCCTTTCTGGCATGCTGAGTGTTACCAAAGCAACAGTGAGAACGTTGGCGGTGGCCGAACCCCCCCCCCCCCCCGCGGACGCCTAGTGCAGGAGCTGCCCTCAGGCAGCAGGCAGCTGTGTTCTCGCTTGGCCGCAAGCGTTCAGCCTGGGCATCCCTCCTTCGCAGATCGCCCTGGCCAGTTTCTACGAAGATGGCGGCGACGAGGACATCATCACCCTCCCGCAGCCAGCCCCCAGCTCTGTCACCAGAGGCACTGCACCCAGGTGAGCTCGAACTGGCCCGGCCCTAGGAAGACCTGTGTGCAAGCTGGTGCGTGACCCCCAGGGGAAACTCGGGGGTCTGCACAGGGAAACTCGGGGGTTGTCGCTGGGGAAGGTGCCGAGAACGCTTCGGCACAGATCCCAAGCCTTCGCAGAACCACACCCCCCCAGATTGTGGGTTTGTGGGACACCGCGGGCCTGTCAAGCCGTTGTTGTGCTTGGGAATGTGTTCGTTTGAGGTGAGTACGAGGAGTCGAAGGGTTTACCGGTGGTGGCACAGGGCCTTTTGTGCTGCAGTGAAGTGCGAAGCAGCAGCATCAAGCTGCCCTGCTTTTGTGTTTGTGTTTCCTGGAGGTTGTCATGCATAACCGGCAGGTGTCCTGGGCCTGCCTGGTTGCCCATCCTTGTATTTCATCAGGCTTGGCGGAAGGATCAAGTCAGGCTTCTGTTTGGCAGATGCTGGGGTTACCAGCCAGGGCTAGTCTGTCTTGGCTGGACTGCTGCCTTTTGAGCATCGGAGGCTAGCAAAGGGCTTTGAAAGCATGGAGTGGCAGAGCGGGCAGCCTGCAAAATGCCAAGCTTGGGAGAGTGCTGAGGTCGGTCGCACTTGCAGAGCGGGGGAGGGCAACGTGTGGCCTGGAGGGCTGCAGATGGGCCCCCCGGTCAAGCCTGTCGCTTCCTCTGCACTGCTGAGAGTCATTGGTACAGTGGCAGAAAGACTGCAGAAGTTGGCCGATGGAATTCAGCCGTAAACCACTACGAAGACTCAGGAGTGCCAAATTTAGCTGCCTGTCAAGCCAAAAGCAACCGTCTCATGTCTGTATAGTGGCTTGCCAGCAATTCCCCCCCCCCCCCCGCAACTGCAGTGCAACTCCTGGGGGAATCTGGGGACTGAAATTTGGCACTTGCCGTGCCCGAAGCTGCCCGCTCCTGGGCACGGGCATCCTTGCTGCAGTGATTTTGGCAAGCACGTGGTCACTCATCGCCTGTTTGCCTGAGCCACTTTCTGGCCTTCTGCTCTTACACATCAAGGAACAGGCCGGCTTTGTTCTCAGTGGCTGCGGTCCCAGAAGCCCCAAGCACAAGGAGCTGGTTCGGCCTGCACCAAGGTGGAATCCTTCCATGCACTGCTGTACTCCGCCCAGGCAAAGTGCCAGCCCATGAACCCCTGGCGTGAGAGCAAGGCTAGCCCGTGAGGCTGCCTTTCCTTTCCTCTCAGGAGTCCACTGAATGCACCTCAGGCCACGCAGGGGTGCATGTGCTGGTCTCCCGTGCAGAGCAGAGGACCCTCCCCTGCGGATACCCTGGCCACTCTAAGGGCAGGCATTTTGGTAGTGGGTTGCCAAGCTGCATCCTGGCTGGTGTGCCTGTGTCACAGCCCGGTCCTTTGAATGCCCCCTCAGTGTTCTGGTTCTTGTCCTTCGGCGCTCTGTTCGAGTCAATGCTCAGCCGCGTTGCTGCAGTCGTGCCAGCACAAGAGGACTGGGGTGGTCCAGGGAGCGGATCCGCTGACTGTCCCTGCGCTTCCCTTAGCAGACCTGTTGATGGGCTGGTCGTGCAGCCGACTGCAGGTCCAGGCTGGGAGAAGGAGAAAAAGCCCACGAAGAGGGGCTGCTCTCATCCGTTTCTCTGCGCTCTCTCTAGTGACCACAGGGTGACGTCATTCCGAGACCTTGTCCATGCTCAGGAAGAGGAGGAGGAAGAGGAAGAAGGACAGAGGTTTGTCCTGCGGAATGCCTGGCTGCCTGCCTGCCTCACGTACGGGGAGGGGGGTGGACAGAAAGGTCAGCAGGAGTGGCCCCAGAAGCGACTTCATTCGGAGGCTGCTGCAGGCGTGTCTCTACCATGGGGCCCTCGGCTGGGGCAGCGGCTGGAGCTGAGCTCTGCAAGGGCCGGACCTTCCCTGCCCTCGCTCAGAGCTCATTCACTCCAGGCCACACCCAGTGTGGGACCATACGCTTCCCAGGCTGAGCTGGCAATTCTGGCAAGCATCCGCTCATGCGGGACCACATTTCCTCTGCGCTGACAGTTGTGGAACTGCAGGAAAACAGGAAAAGACCCAGAAAGCACAAGCAATGATTACAGCAAAACAGAATATTAACAGCAGCAATTATGGGTTGAACCCCGCTTTCCGCACTTCGGTGCCCCTCAGATGGGATACACTGCAGTTCCTGTTCCATTACATGCCGGCTGGAAACGAGCGGGACTTTAGTTTGTCTGGAAGCACAAGGTTTAGGGAAAGCAAGTCTAACTTTGTCGTACTGCTGAGAAAGTAGAAAATTGGTTTAAACTTCGGAAGTGGAGAACATGAAGCCCACCATTGCTAATAAGATCACCCTCTTACAAGAAGGTGGTAGAAGCAAACTTTTTGCTCTTCAGACCACTTGGCTTTCCCCTCCAGAGCTGAATCTAAAAGCTTAGCACAAACCACAGAAGAACTGGGACAGCATACGCTGGCATGATCCCCACTGAACCATTGGCATGAGAAAGAAATAGACGTTATGCAGAAAGAAAAGTTCCGTTCTCCAACTGGTGCTGAATTGCACCAATTTGGTTTGTGTTCTTTAAAATCAAGAGTAGCTTGTTCTTCCCTCTTTACAGTTTGCATTGCTTAGTCTGGCTTTGCTAGTCGGGGGATTGGATTCCCCCTGCCCCTGGGAATAATCATCCATCCCCTCCTCCGGCTGCAGATAGTTCACCATGCCTCGCCCACCCACTGTTAGCCTTGCTCCTTAAACAGAGAAAATCTGGGTAGTACCTAATACCACATTTTCTGGTTTGTCTGTGGAATTGTGGCATATTCACAGCAGTGGACTTGACTTGGAATATTTAGACACAGGAAAGGGGGAATTGTGGCCTCTGTTCCTGTAATGTGTCCACTAAGGAATGCTGAGAAAATTCCTCCCTTTACCTGCTCCTCGAAATTTTCACCACCGGTAGGAACAACTGCAACAGAAAACGTTAAATGGTGGATTTGTGTGCAGACTCCCACAGTGAAAGGTGGAACACCCAGAAACTAGCTGCCCAGAACATCACAGAATTCCTTTAATGATCAAAGCCCCAAGTCAGCTAAAATATTATATTCCCAATCCACATAGCGTGAAGTGCCTTTATGTTCTTGTGGACATTAATCCAGTTCAAAATTTGCAGGATAGACTTGTTGAAGAACAACATTATGATAAGCTCTTATGCAGTTCATTAGGGTGTTCAAAGATTTAAGCATACCTTCCCTTCTTATCTTTACAATAGCTCCATATCCTGTTGCAGAAAAATGAGGGATATAAATACACTGTAATAATTTTTAAAAAGACGTTTTAAAAGTATCACAACATCATAATGATAAAGCAGGGTAGGAACATTCACAGGGGAAGCTTGTGTGAATAGATGTTTAAAACAGCACCAACTCTGTCACTTAGACAACATGTGGGAGAATATTTGAAAGGGTGGGTGCCACCACTGAGAAGGCCTGCTGGACAATCAGTAGGGGCTTCTCAGAAGGTTTCAAGTTGACTGAGTTATAAGGAAAGACAGTCCGTTTGCAGGTGTATCTGTCTTTCCTTATTTTGTACAGCCTGTTTCTTGGTCCAGAATTTGTGGGTGTGATGGAAGAGACGGGGCATGAGAACAGGGCCTTTTCACTGCTGCCCCGAGAGCTGCACTCACAAATGGTCTCCCTTCCCCAGGCGGGACCGTGGGGGATGTGCATGCATGTGGGCCTGCTGGATGTCTTTCAGATTTTATGCTGGGGGATCCGAGCGAAGTGGACAGCAGATTGTTGGTCCTCCGAGAAAGAAGAGCCCCAACGAGCTTGTGGAAGATTTGTTCCGGGGTGCCAAAGAACACGGGGCAGTGGCTGTCGACCGAACAGCGAAAAGTCCCAGCGAAGGCAGCAGACCAAAAGTGAGTACCGGGAGGGAGGTCACAGCTGGTCAGGTATTGGTGAATTTGGAGGCCGTTCCCCCCACCCCAAACCTTCCACTGGGCACCAAAACCAAGAGGAACATAAAAAGGCTTCGCTGTAGCCCTTTGTCAGAGCTGCAGTCCCTGGTGGATCCGCAGTTTTATTATTTTTTTGTGCCATAACGGTGCTAGGTGCCACTTTCTTTGCAGTATATAAGATTAGTGGGAAGCCCCCCTGAATTTTGGGGTGGGAGTGGAAATGGAGGCCACACTGAGCGAGCATGCAGTCTGCACATTGACCTTTCCTTAGCAGAAAACAGGACTGGTTGGCCAAGAAGGGAGCTTAAGGGAGGGACTAAAAGGAAAAAGCAAAATGCTATTTCATAGCAGCCGAAGGCATGGAAACGGGGACTTTAATGCACCAGTAAGAGAGTTTGGGCATGAGGAAGCAGACCAAGAGGGCTCTAAGTAGGGAGATGGCAACTGGCAGAACTTTTGAAAAAAGACGAGAGGCTTGGGATGGGTGGCCAAAGGGCTCAGTCCTGGAGAGGGGCGTTGCATAAGCTCCAGCGCTAAAAAAAAAGAGACGATTCTACCTGTAGCATTCAGTGGGGGGCCTTTTGTACAAGGGCTGGCCATGTTCCGTCCCCTGTAACTCAGGCCCTGTGTGTGGGATTCCGACGGCCTTCTCTCCTCAGAACAGGCGTGTCAAAACAAGCCTCTCTAACAAACCCTGAACCCTAACCCTGGATGACAACCTCCCAGGCAATGACACTGTTGGATTTGCCGTTTCTGAGAGCTGCAGACCTGAAACGGTTTTTCCTTCCCTCCCTCGAAAGGCTGTTGGAGTGATGATGCGGTGCAGTGGGTTTGATTAAAAGCAGATTATTCTGAACGCAGTTGCTGGCAAGAGAAAAAGACCCCTCGATTCAGCTGTTGTCTGTCCTTGCCATTTTTTGAGAAAGACGCCCTCAGGGCCACCAGCCAGGAGCCGGGATCAGACACAGCCTGTGTGGCCTCTCCCAGCCCTTTCCAAGACTGACCGTGTGTCTTTCCCTGGCAGCCCTTCGCTGGCGGCGGGTACCGCCTGGGAGCTGCCCCTGAGGAGGAGTCTGCCTACGTCGCTGGAGAGGCGAGGCAGAATGCTGCCCAGGATGTGAGTATGCCCGGCATGGGCGTCCGTTCGCATGGCCCAGGTGTAACTCCTAGGTGCAGGGGGTGCCCGAACAGTGGTCAGGCAGGACACAAACTAGCTTCATATGTTCACTTGCAAGTTATGTGCAAGCGGGTCTTTTAAGCCGTCCTGAGCGCTTGGCGATAGGACGGGGTATAAATGTGTGTAATCAATCACCACCCACCCACCCGCCTGCCCTGGCAGTGGCTACTGCTTGGGGAAAGCCTCTTTCAGCAGGGAGTGAGTTGGATCTCCCCACATGCCACCCAAATTGCCCCGTAAGGTTGATTCCCTCCTTGCAGAGGACCAAACATGCTGAACCTCACAGAGGGAAAGCAGGAGAACTTGCGGCAGAAAAGCTCAGGGGTGCGAAGGGCGAAGCATCTTGGCTTCAGGGCTTGTCTCCTTTCTCCAAGAGGAAGCGCCTGCACTTTCTGGGAACTGTTCTGCTTTCTGCCAGGTGCATGTTGTCCTGAAGCTGTGGAAGAGCGGCTTCAGCCTGGACAGCGGGGAGCTGCGGAGCTATCAAGATCCGTCCAATTCCCAGTTCCTGGAATCCATCCGCAGAGGGTAAGGCTAGTTCCCTGGGACACGGGGCAGTACCTGGTCACAGGCCTCTCTGGCAGGCGCCTGTGGAGGGGAGGTGCAGAGGAGGCCCTGCTCGGTGCTGTAGGCCAGAAAGGAGACTTGGCCAGGCCTCTCCCTCGAGCCGCCTGCCCTCACTTCATTCCGCCAGGGAAGTTCCCGCAGAGCTCCGGCGGTTGGCTCGTGGCGGGCAGGTGAACCTGGATCTTGAGGACCACCGTGATGAGGATTTTGTGAAACCCAGAGGTGCCTTCAGGGCTTTCACCGGAGAAGGGCAGAAGCTGGGCAGGTGAGTATCCAGCAGGCAGAGGCCGCTCCCGTGTCTCTCGGTGTTGCAGAGAGAAGCATCCGCTCACGCGTGGGGGGGGGGGCGCCTGTGAAGGCCAGGTGACAGTGTCCTTCAGATAGATCGCTGCTGCTGTGGCTGCTGCGACTTTTGTTTTCTAAGCCCTTCTATAGTGCTTTTTACATAATGCGGAAAGAGGCGGGCGTTTGTCTCACTCTCATGGAGCAGAACTGGGTCAGCCAGTGCAGCGGACTGGCAGAAAGTTCAGGGCAGTCGGAAAAGTCTGTTACACAATGCCTGACGATCGTGTGGACTTTGCTGCCGCAAGATGTGGTGGCGATGGCTGGTTCACACGGCTTTCAGGAGGGATTAAAGATATTCACCAAGAAGGATGGGGGCAAGCTGGCACATCCCCACCCAAAAGCGGGAGGCGGAGAGTGGCAGCGAGGGGGCTCTGCCTTCCTGGCCTGCTTCGGCAGCTTTCCAGAGGAATCTGCGTGGCCCCTCTGGGAAACCGGTGGCCGGCTGGGCGGACTCTGGGCCCGATCCAGCTGGGCTTCTGTTCTCTCCTCAGGCTTCGCTTCCGTCTGCTTCTGCTGCCCCGGCTTTAATCCCTACCCTACAGTGGGACTTATATGGGACTGAGCCCGTCAATTTCCGCCTCTTTTCCCAATATGTGTATCCTGATCCAGAATCGTGTTGCTTGCTGGGAAGCAGCCGGGGTCTTGCCCTGGCCGGCTGGGTGTCTGCTGTGACAGCCGATGCCAGAAATATGCCAGGTCGGGCAGGGGGCGAGGCACTCGCGCCGTGCCCTTGCTCTGTCCATCTGGCAGGCTTGGCCCCCTCGGGCTCTCGCAGTCTTTCTGGAGAGCTTGTGTTGTCGCCTCGGCCAGCCAGGCTCCTGGCAGCTGCTTGCACGACGGGAATTTTGCAGTCAGAAAGAACATGAGAATGCCTGACGCAGCTTGCCTCTCCTCAGCTGCTGTTTCATGCAAGCAGAATGGGCAACCTAACCTGCCGTTTCTTTTACTTGGAATCCTGTTTCACTTCCTCCCGAGGCAGGTGGAGGTTGTGAAGTGATCCAGACGGGAGTAAGCCTACTGGAATAAATAGGCCGATTTCCAGGTTAAACATACAGAGGCACTTGGCTGACATTTCTGCCCTAGGACCATGTTCTGTTTGTGAATCTTCATTTATTTATTTGAAGTTTTTCTGTACGGCCCGAATTAGCAGTGTGCTCTCAGAATGGTTCACCGCAGGAATGTTTTCTGGACGCGGCAATAGCCTGGCCTAATGCAGCAGGGAGAGTCAGTTTTGAACTTACATAATCCGTGACATCCTGCGTGGTGTCACAGATGTTGTGGATTCAAAGCAGAGTTAGGCAAGGGATTGCGACTAGGGGTGGGAGATCAGGCTGGGATCAGCCTTGTGCACTCCAGACTTCGCCCAAGAAGCGGGTCAAGCGGAGACCCAGTTCAGGAACACTGGTGGATTCTTTGCACAAAGTACGCAAAACCCACAAGTTGCTTCCTGCTGAACGCCCACACAAACACTTGACTGGGGCAGGCTTGTGGAAGAGAGAGAGGAAGCCGTGATCCCAGCGGAGGAAATCCGACGGATTCCCACCCCCAAACCAGATGCCTCGCACATCCCTAAGCGTGAGCCTGACAGAGGAGCCAGTGCCTCCTGCACCTGTTCCCAGATGCCAGCAGCCTGCCAGAAAGCCCCTGCAAGCCCTCCCATGCGCCGCTGCCCCCTCCTGTCCCTCTGGCGCATCGTGAAGCGAGGCGGAAACACGACCCAGGCCGGTCCAGGCCTGTGGCCTGCTCCCGAGCACAAAACGCTCCTCCCGTCTTCCTCCCAGCACTGCTCCTCAGGTGACCGGCCCGAGCTCTGCATCGCAGCAGGCAGAAAACGAAGCCAAGGCCAGCTCCTCCGTTGCCGTCGATGAGTCGGAGCCCACCACCAACATCCAGATCCGGCTCGCGGATGGCGGGCGGCTGGTCCAGAAGTTCAACCACAGCCACAGGTACGCGGAGGTGGGCGGGCGGGGCGGAGCGGGGCCTGCGGACTGGAATCCGCCCCGAGTTCTTTGGCCATCACGATGTCCATGAAGAGGGTGGTGGTGGGAGTGAGAATGAGGGACAGCTGGGGTGGAGGGCTGCGGGAGCACTGCAGAGCATTTGACTGCTGCGTTTCTGCATGGCGAGGTGGGCAGCCTCAGGCCCGGGGGCCAGCGTGGCCCTCCAGGGCTCCCCGGGAAGCGTGTCCCCTTCCCCGCAAGCAGCAGCTGCTCCGCGGTTCCCTGGCCGCTTGGCGTGTCCCCCACTCCCATTCCAGGCGGGCGAGCTGCCTCCCCAAAGGGGTCACTGTCAGGAAGGGCTTTAGCTGGCACGCGCTGGTGGTGTCGGCCTGCTGGAACCCGCCCCTTTCTTCCGTGGGGCCCCCCTTCCGGCCCCGAGAGCATCTCCAACGTGGAGTTCTGCCCTTGAGCAGAACGGGGTCCCCTGCCCCCGCTTGGCGGGGCTCCCAGTGGGCCAGATGTGCCGTCTCCTTTCTTCTGGACAGGATCCGTGACGTTCGGCTCTTCATAGCGGATGCCAGGCCCGCCATGGCTGCCACCAGCTTCATCCTCATGACCACCTTCCCGAACAAAGAGCTTTCGGATGAGGACCAGACCCTGAAGGAAGCCAATCTACTCAACGCTGTCATCGTCCAGCGGTTAATATAAGGGGACCTGCCCACCAGCTGCCCGCCCCGTCGTATAGCCCCTGCGTGTGGCCCTTCACACAGTGCGGTGCCGCAGCCCCGTCGTAGCACTGGGTTCCAGGCTCTTGGGTTGGACTCTTTAGTTGCGTTTCCCACATTATTTGTGTTGTGTGCGTGCGTGCGTGCGTGGGTGAGTGAGCCAGCGTCCACTGATTCACGGACTTAAAGAAATTAAACCAAACGCAAACTTTTGGAAGGAACACCATCTCTGCTCCCTCTTGTGCCGCCTCTGCCCCACCCCGCTGGATGGCAGGGCAGAGCTGCGTGCGGCCCGACAGGGAGGGGTGGTGGTCGGAAGGGGCGCGCGGTGTCCTTCCCACGCCCTGCCCCGCCTCCTGTTCGGTGTGTTAAATAAAACGAGCCCCTGCGGCCAGACCGCTCTCGCCAGTCACGTCCTGTGCCGTGCCTCTGTGTTCTGTGGGGAGGCTGGAAGGAGGATCCCGTGATCCAGCAGCAGGGGCGGGGAGATCCCTTGACCATTCCTGGCGGCTTAGAGTGTCCCCAGTGCCGAGGGTGTGGCGGCCGCTGTTTCTTAAAGCTAGTGGGTCGGCTCGCAAGGAAAGGAGGGGGTCCTCCGGCAAAGCAGACAGTTCTGTTCGCTGGGCATCAACTCCTGTGGTGGACGGCGTGGCTTGACTTGCTGCATCGTTTCCGAAGGACAGCACCACTGGACGCGGCGCCTGGGGTTTCGGGTCCAGGTGCCCAGTGCCTGTCCCCACTCGAAACACCCACTTTTTGAAAAGGATTCCTCTGCCCCCAGCCCCCTGGTCTCTTGGTTTTCCTCAGATAATACAAGAGGGATCTTCGTCTTCCTCTTCCTTACAGCACAGAATGCCCTGGGTAAGCATCAGTGAGTGAGTGAGTGAGTGAGTGAGTGAGTGAGTGAGTGAGTGAG